ACTCAAACTAGGAAACATTTTACAGAACAAAAAAGAAAGAAAAGAAAAGAGAGAAACTACAGAAAAATCTCTCCTAAATATAGGCATTGAAATCTTTAAAAGTATTAATCAGCTGGATCCAACAGTACGCAAAAATAATTATGCCTCATAATCAAGTGGGATTTATTTCCACATATGCCTTGAACATCATGGAATTAATTAACATCATTCCTCACATCAACAGGCTAAAGAAGAAAAACCATATGGTCCTATGAATAGATGAAGAAAAAGTGCTCAATACAATCCAATAGCCATTCATGATAAATAAAACTCTCAGCAGACTTGGAATACAAGAGAATGCCATCCACTTGGTGAAGAGCATCTAAAAGAAACCTACAGTTAGCATCAGTCCTAAAGGTGAGGGACAAGATGATTCCCCATGAAGACTGGGAATGAGAAAAGGATATCACTGCTCACCACTGCTTTTCCACATTGTACTGGAAGTTCTGGGTAATATAGTAAGCAAAAAGGAAAATAAAGTATATAGATTATAAGGGAAAATTAAAACTGTTTTTTTTTTCACAAATAGCATCATTGTCTATATAGAAAATCCCTAAAAAAACTCAACAACAGCAGAAACATCTACATCTAGAAAAGTGTTTAGCTCAAGACTGCAGGACAGCAGTTGATTGCTTTCTTGTAGAAAACAGTATACCACTGGAATATGAAATTAGAAGCACAACATATTTTACACTAGATCTAAAAGTTAAATATTTAGGTGTAAATTAACAAAATTGGCACATAATCTATATGGGAAAAAAAGTATAAAATTCTGAAGAAGGAGATCAGAGAGGATCTAAGTAAATGGAGAGACATATCATGTCCATGGATAGGAAGAACTGAGAGTGTGAAAGTGTTAAGATCTTCCCAAACTGATCTATAGATTTAGTGCAAGCCTCATTAAAATCGCAGCAAGTTCCTTTGTGGATATTGACAACTGATTCTGAAGTTTACATAAAAAGGCAAAGACTGACAATATCCAACACACTACTGGAGATGAATGAAGTCAGAGGACTGATAGCACCTGGCTTCAAGACCCATTACAAAGCCACAATACTCAAGACAGCATAGCATTGGAAAAAGAGTAGATAAACCCATCAATGGGACAGAATTGAGGACCTACATATAGATCCACACACAGATAATCAACAGAACTTTGAAAAAGACCAAAGACAACTCAATGGGGAAAGTATAGTTTTTGCAAAAGTGGTATTAGAACAACTAACAATCCTCATGAAAAACAAGGTGAATCTAGGCACTTTCCACCTTTCATATCAAAATTAAAATGCCATACAACAAAACTTCTAGAAGGTAAAAGGAAAAAATCAAGTTGATCTTGGGTGTGTCAGTGAGTTTTTAGATGCAACAGCAAAAGTCCCATCAATGAAAATCATTTTATAAAGTGGATTTTTTAAAAATTAAAAAGCTTCTAAAATGAAAAACACTAATTTAATAAAAGACTTATCTAAAACATGCAAATAATTTGTAGAACTCAATAGTTCCATAAGTAACCCAATTAGAATGAGGCAAAACATCTGAACAGATACCAGAAAAAATAAGATCTATTGATGAAACACAGAATATGAAGATAACCTCAAAATCACATGTTATTAGGAAACTGCAAACACAAACAATAATGGGATACTACTGCACACTTGTTAGAGTGGTTAAAGTTCAAAACACTGACCTTGTCAAATGCTGGCCACGATGTAAAGCAACAGAACTTCTCATTTATTGCTGATTGGAATATAAAATGGCACAGGCATTTTGGAAGACAATTTGGTGCTTAATAGGCTTACCAGCGTTACCATAAGATCCAGCAATTATACCCCAAGGCATTTAAGCAAATTAGTTGAAAATATATGTGGTTGGAATAATTCTCACCTACTACATAGAAACACTAATCAAGACATTGTGATATTGATGCAGGGTAGACATATAGATTTTGAAGACAAAGAATCAAGAAAATAGTCCCACCACACAAACATGTCCAAGTGGTATCTGGCAATGTTGAAATGGTAATTCAAAAGAGGAAGGACAGTCTTTCAATAAATGGCATTAGGGAAACTGGGCCAAACTCTCACACACATAAAAATTATCCCAAAGTGGAACATAAAATATAAAATATTTTATATAAAATATAAACCACTAGAAAAAAATTTTTTTAAATCTTTAGGATTTAGAGTTAGAGAAAGAATTCTTAGACTTCACAGAAAGTGTACAACCCACAAACGGGGGAAAAAAACCGATAAATCCGACCTCATCAAAAGCAAAACTTTTGCTAAAGCATAAGGAGGATGTGGAAGAAATCAAAGTCTTATAAAGTGAAAGTTTGGGGAATGTAAACTAGTATGGCCACCCCAGAAACCCCTTGGGCACCTTTTTTTCCTTTATAAAATTATCCATGTAATTACCCAACAATTGCACTCTTGGCCATTTTGATCCCAGGAAAATGACACTGATGATCACACATTCATAATGCGTACAACGTTCTAGTGAATTTCAAGGGGATTATGCTGAGTGAAAAAGTCCATCCCCAAAGTTTCTACTTTCTGATTCCATTTATATAACATTCTTCAAATGGAAAATAAATGGAGAACGGATTAGTGGTTGCCAGGGGTTACCGCTGATGAGCAGGAGGTGGAAGCAGGTGTGGATACTGAGCCAGAGGAGGCTCATGCCGATGGAAATCTTGTGTATCTTGACTGACAAGGTTGTGATACTGCACTGAAGTTTTGCAAGACATTACCACTGGGAGAACTGGGTAAAGGTACTCGGGTTCACTTGATGATTTCTCATAAGTGTATATGAATGTGCAGTTGGCTCAAATTTTCAGTTGCAAAAGAAAACAGGAAAACTTTCAATGACTGGAGTAGGATACTTCATTTTCTCAATTATTTTAGCCCCTAACGTAGTAGTTTCCAAAAGATCACCTGAAGATCTTTTTTAAAATTCCAAGCCCAGGCTGTTCCTCAGATCAGTTAAATTGTAATTTACAGGTATAAGACATTTGCAAAGTCACATGTTACTTCATTTACAGTGTTGCAAGGCGTCAGATTAAAGTTCTTTCTGACTTGCTTGTACACATTATAAGGCAAAGCAGATCAGAGCTCGCATCCTAAGGAAAGTTCAGCCCATGTTACCCTTCTATGTCATCTCTTCCCTAATCAGGAGCTTCTGAAAGGTTTAGGTTCATTCTACATGTCTGTCTAGGTTAAGTTTATATTTAAAATTCTCCAGTGGCCCCTTTGCCACAATAACTCTAAGGCATAGAAAAATGACACTACATTTTTCCTAATGTAGTTTTAGAAATGTATCTTATTTCACTTTTAATTATCCATTCTCCAAATTCATCTTGTATCTAGAAATAAAACCAAATGGACAACGGCTGGCGAGCGCATCGATTAAATCCCAACCCCAACGGGAGGGTCTGTGCATACCTGTGTAGTGTACAGGGCACAGGCTGGTCCACGCATACCGTGCTTGCTCACTGACACATCAGGAAATATTGTTTACTGGTTCCATTAGAGGTCACTCCCATGTGACTTGTACCCTTTCTTTCCCATGCCTGGCTTTCCCTGGTAACTATCTAGTATGTTTTGTTCCATAGTCCTGGTCTGGCTTACTATAATCATCTTTCTCACTGATTAAACTTCAACCATGATGAATTAACAAATACTTGAACCTAGTAATGACAACTATAAATATAAAAACCTGGAGAGCTGGGAATGAGAATAAAACTACAGAGCTGGGAATGAGGATTACTTATTTCCTGAACTTTATGTAGTTTATCTCATTTATCTAGGACTCCATGAGATCAGTTCAGTGTCTCTGAAGAAGAAACAGATGCAAAAGATTAAGCAATTGCTTGAATTTCTGCAGATGCTACAGAATAGACTTGGACTTCAAACTTAGATGTGAGATGAAACAAGTCCTTTGCTCTTTTTAGTCAATGGAACCAGCAAATAGGCATTCAAAGGAGACTAGATCACTCTGAGAAGGGACCCAAGTGAGGACTGCATAGATCTAGACAACAGGTAAGATTCAAGGGTGAAAGGCAGGAGGGGGGCCATCCAAGCAGAGAAAGTAGCAGGAAATTTCTGGCACAGAGAAGAACTGTGGTCTGGAATGTTCCACGGGGGCCAACTGACCAGGAGCCATGGGGATTAGGGGAGGCAGTACAGGTATGTGACAGTGATTCTGAAGGACACATCTGCAACTGAGAGTCACACACCAATACCTTTCAATGCATTTGAATAGAAGATTGTAGATTAAAATGTTAAGAGTGGCTTTACTATGCTGCTAACTTACACTAGTTTAGATTGCTGAATTTCTAAAAAAAAAGAAAGACAAATCTCAGTATTTACTAATGAAAATAAAGCACTTGCTAAAAAAAAAAAAAGAACAACTTCATTGGGGGGGGGGGGCATCAAAGGGTTCTGTAAGAGACTGTGGGAGTCCCTAAAAGGAGGGAGAAACATCTACTTAAGAGCAGAAGGTTATGATGCAAGCAGGGCTTCCTCGAGATAATCTGCATTTTTGAAGATGAAGATAGTACATTGGATAACCTGGGGAAATGGATGAGAGACCAGCTGGAAAACTCTTGTAATAACTTCAGTAATTATTCCGTCTCCGACATACGGGAGTGGTGGGGCTGGGAGTGACAGGTGGACCTACTGAGAAAATCTGAAGGGAGGGATCCAGCGTTACAGGTGGATTGAGGGGTAGATTTTGAACAGAGTGGGGAGGCGGATTGGTCCCAGCTGGTCTCCAGAAAGAACTGTTAACCCTCACCCACCCTAAAACCCCACTCTCCTCTAATTGTCAAAGCTGGCATCTGTTATTAGCAAAGTTGCTTTGATTTAAAAAAAAAAAAAAAAACATGTCACTAGTCCTGCACGCTGAGCGTCCATCCCGTGAGGAGGGCGCCCTGCAGCGCGGTCCCAGGCACGGGTCCTTACCTCGTGGGTCTGCGGGGGGCCGCCCGGAGCCACAGCGCAGAGCCAGCTGCTGCTCACAGCGCTCCGCCAGGGCCACCGCTGCCCGCAGCTGCCCCGCGCTGGCCGCGTAGGCGAAGGTCACCGAGCGTGCGTGCCCCCGGGGGCCGCCTCCGATGGTCACCTGGTCTGGGCCACCGTGCCGCACCACCGTCCACGCGGCGTCTGCGAAGCAGAAAGGGGCAAAGAGGAGGCGTCACCGCGGGGCAGGAGTCAGAGGCTGCGAAACACCTTTTATTTCAATTAAGTCTTTCCAGCGTTTTTCTTGGTGCACTGTAGCTGAACATGGTGGGGTTTGTCGTTACCCATTGGTGCCTGCACCAATATACCCAGATAATTAGGCCAATGCCACTCTTCAGCACTTCCCCTCTGTCCCCTCCTCCCCTCCTCGGGTCCCTTTCCTCTGCTTTTCATGAGATCCCAACCCCCACCCCCACCTTTCTTTTCCTCTCTAGCTCCACATATGAGAGAAAGTCTACAATCCTTGACCTTCTGAGTTGGGCTAATTTCACTTAACATAATCGTCTCTAGTTCCATCCATTTTCCTGCAAATGACATAATTTCATTCTTCTTTATGGTCGAATAAAACTCCATTGTGTGTGTATATACCTCATTTTCTGTCGCCATTCATCAGTTGACTGACACCCAGGCTGGTTCCACAGTTTAGCTACTGAGAACTGTGCAGCTATCAACATGGGTAGGCATGTGTCACTGCAGGATATTGACTTTAATTCTTCACGATGAATACCTACACGCTGTCTAGCTGGGCATATGGTGGTTCCATGCCTAGTCTTTGAGGAAACTCCATACTGATTTCCATAGTGGTTGTACTAATTTACAGTCCCACCAACGGTGTAAAAGTGTTCCTTCTCCTCCCCATCTTCTCCAGCATTTATTATTGTTTGTGTTCTTGATGGCTGCCATTCTCACTGCTGTGAGATGAAATCTCAGTGTAATTTTGGAGGAAAATGCAAATAAAAAACTACACTGAGATTTCATCTTAATTAAGTTTTTAATCAAAATTTGAATTACTGCGAGTTCGCAGTGAACTTTTTGCCTTGGATTTGTTTAGCAACGCATTAGCCAGAATTCAGATTCAAAGAGAAGAATATATTGGGAGAACTGATGATTAAATTTCTGTGACTTGTCTAATAATATAATGCAAAAATCACTTTTTATATCAACACAAAAATGAGGCTAAACTGGGCATGACCATATATCTTTTGTGCTCAGTATTTTCCTCATCTGTGTGTTTTCCTTATTATCAAATAAGTTTATAAAAGATGCATTTGGGGATGATGGGACCTACAGATTGATGAACTACCACAGGAAGCAACTTTGTTCAAAGCCTATCACCTTCTCAGTAAGCAAGCCCTGAAGAATGACATGCTTTGGGCATCCCATAGAGCGTCCAGGCAGTAATCCTGGCCATCTGTCCATCTGATGATAATTTCTGATGTATTTCTGTTGTGTTGATCACTTGAATTTGTTTTCTTTTACTTTTGTCTGTTTCTTGTGGTACTGGGGGTTGAACCCAGAGGCACTGTACTACTGAACTAAACCTCCAGCCCTTTACATATTTTTACTTTGAGAAAGGGCTTTGCTAAGTTGTGCAGGCTGGCCTCCAACTTGTAATCCTTCTGCCTCAGCCTCCCAAGTCTCTGGGATTACAGGCTGTGTGCCACCACACCCAACCATTAGATTTGTTTTGGTAAAATAACAAACAAACAAACAAAACAAGTGTCTTCCAAGGGAAGAACTTTAGGTTCTTTCGTTTTCCCACCAAGGGACCTCATGCCTGATGGTGTAAAGTATTGCCCAGCTGCATGGATAGCTATGGGTCAGTGGACAAGGACCTGCTTTGAAGTCACTCCAGTTCAACTACTTCAATACTGCCTGGTCCTTTAGCTTCTTAAAAAAAAAGACATATTTAGCATAATGGACACTCTACATAGGAGTTTTACAAACTGTAGGAATGGGGAAAATTCATATGGATATACATTTTTAAGAATTCAAAATCAAAGCAATGTAGTACGTGTGTTTTTTGTTGTTTGTTTTTGGGGTTTTTTAGTCCAGGAATTGACCAAAAGGATACTTAACCACTGAGCCATATCCCAACCCTTTTTATGTTTTATTTTACGACAAGGTCTCTCTGAGTCGCTTAGGGCCTCGATAAGTCGCTGAGGCTGGCTTTGAACTTGCAACCCTCCTGCCTCAGCCTCCCCAGTCACTAGGTTTACAGGTGTGTGCCACCATGCCCAGCTATATTAGGTTTTCTATTGAGAAATCACCCTCCCATCCTATCACATCTCAGGATTTTTAATAACTTGGTTTCCAAATGTGTGTAAGAGAAGTTTAACAGTCTTACCGCTGCTCACCATATCAAAATAACAAACCATATTCCCACCATATCAAAATAACAAACAGAGGCACAAGGAAGCCAGCAGTGCGGTTGGAACAACCCTTTGGCCATGGTTCCTACGGAGAGCACAGTGTCCACGAAGGGACGGAAAGGATGGACACAACCTGTGAACTGAAGGAGGGAACGCAGGCTTGAATTCAATGACCGCGGCCTGCTGTCCTCACAGAGGGGCCGCCAAGGTCTCCTGCAGCAATCTCAGTTCCCAGGCTCTTTCCTTTCATAAGGTTCTCAGCATGAATTTCTTTTCATTTTAGAATCTTTAAACTCCTGGCCATCCTGTTTGCATGACTCCTACTCTCCATTCACCTTCAGGTTTCTCCTGTCGACTAGATCAAATACACAGACACCTGACACTCAGTAGGGCCTTGAAGATAATCAGTCATGTGCCATTTTGGGTCCTGAGTCATGGTTTGATGGTCCTGGGTAGCTCCATTTAATAGATTTGCAGTCATGCATGATCACAGTGTAATAACAGAAAAACAGGTTGAGATCTATCTGGAAAACTGCTGCCCCAGAGAGCAGAACGGTAATCTGTGGGCATCATGAGACTTACACACCTGTAAAGCTCTTCTTCCTTGTGTGATTTCTGTTGAGAAGTCGGATATGATTCTTATCTTTGCTCCTGTGGAGGTGAGGTGGGTTTTTGTTGTTGTTATTGTTATTGTTTTGTTTTGTTTTTCTGACTTCTGTCAAGGTTTTTCTTTACCTTTGATGGCCCACAGTTTGAATATCCATGCCTAGGCGTGGTTTTACGTTGGCAGTGGTGGTAGCATATCCTGTTTTAGTGCTCTTTGAACTTCCTGGATCTGTGATGGGTGTTTTGACAAGAATTCATGAAAAATCCTAGTTGTTATTGCTTCAAAATTGGCTTCTGTTCCTTTCTTTATTTCTTCTCCTGATATTCCGTTTACATGGAAGTTACACCTTTTATAATTATATCACAATTCTCAGATATTCTGGGTTTAGTTTTTTCAGTCTTTTTTTTTAATCTCTTGGCTTTTCAGTTTTGGAAATTTCTATTTTGATATCCCCAAACGTAGAGATTTCTTTCCTCTGCTATATCCAGTCTCCTAATGAACTCATCTGAGGCATGTTTTCATTTTTGTTCCAATAGTTGGATTTCTGGCATCTCTTTTTCCTTCTTTTTGAGAATTCCCTCCTCTCTGATGCATGGCTTCTCTGCTCTTGCATGCTGTCTGCTTGGTCTCTTAGACCATTAATCTGTTAGTCCCAGTGGTTTTCAGTTCCTAGTCTGCTAATTCTAACATCCCTGCCTGCGTATTGGAGTCTGTTTCTATGGCTCCCTCTTTCTCTTTTGAATTATGTTTTCTGCTGTTTGTTTTGCCTTGAAATTTTTTCCTGATAGCCAGGGGTGATGCATTGGTCCAAGTCATGCTGCCACCAGACCTTTAGTGAATCAAGGGAGATGCAGCCAAGGGGAGGGCCTGTGTGATGCCATCATGAGCTTGGGCCTCTGCACTGTGGCCTCAGCTCCCTCCCCAGCACCCTCAGGCATTTCCCTTTTCCTCCTTAGGCTAGGCTCTGAAACCTATCCCAATAGTTTAGGCTCTGAAAACATTCTTTCTCAAGGGCAGGTCAAGGAGAATAGAATGCTCTGGTGAGTGTTTCCAGATGATTCTTTCTCCACTTATCCTTCTGGAAGCATGAGGAGATTTTCCTCCAATATCACTGTAAGAAACAGGTCAAGCTCCTGAAAATTGCAGCTCACAGCATAAGGATCCTTCTCTGACTTGTCTCCGCAGGGACTCCAGCCATTTGTCCATCACCTTTTAGGTTTTCCCACCCAGGCACTGGTGTGCCTGGGGCTTTCTGCTCTGGGAAGTGGTGATTCTCTGTGTCTGCCTGTTTCTCTCTCCAATGGGGGGGGGGGGGCAGCAGTCTGCTCTGCGACTTCACATCTTTGCTAGATCTAGGAAGAGTCATTGATTTTTCATTTTGTCCAGTTTTTTACTTAGTAAGATGGAGCGGTGACTTCCAAACTCCTTAGCAAGACAGATGGAAGCCACTGGCTCCTGAAAGCTTATTACTCTACATGCATTTTTCAAGCGAGTGGAACAGTATTTGACAACAGCACCTTTTTTAATTGCTTTTGCTTAATCTGCTATAAGCAATGCAACCTCCAGAGAGAAGATGACTTTTTCTAGGGGAGTTTAGTGATTCCTCTGTCATTAACTAGATTTTGTCGTTAGATGCTTCCCTTACCAACTTCACCAAGCCTCATTCTTCTCATCTTAAAACAATGACAAGATCCTTGCAAGTGTGACCTTGGTTGAGTCCTTTGATATTTGCCAAGACCACTTTACCGCAAGAGCCCATTGTGAAGAAGCTGAACCACAGCAAGGGATCCCCGGGAAAGCTGCATGACTGGGTGCTGGACCCTTCTCACATTAGTATGATTGTTAGAATCAGGGAGTTTAGGAGATGGTGAGTTTCTGTTGGTGGGACTTCTGTATTTTATATCTTCAGCACTTTGCTGATCACGTGGTTCTAAATTTTTGGAATATTCACATTTTAAACATTCTTTGGCAATCTTCACTAAAGCATTTTAAATTTCTATGTACTTTCAATTGTCTGTTTCCTTCTTTTCTAGGTGTTTGCTGGTCCATTTGGTCACTGTCCAATTTCACAGGACTTCACAACCTTTTCTCTCACACTAAATGAGAACTATTTATTTCACATTTCTTCTTTCCAGAGAGCCCCCTGAAATTTGCTAGAGCAGATTTCTGTAAAAATTTAATTACCTAAGAGGCATTTTACGGCAACCTTCAACAATCAAGCTGTGTTCATTCGTAATAATACCTAAACCAGGAGTGGTTTTATAATATTAACACAAATCAGATTTCTTTTATTGTAAAAATTACATGCTATTGAAGATATATATACACACATATACATACATATCTTATTTCTTAGTATTTTTAAAGATCTCTTTTTTGTTCTAAATTTTTAAAATATGTAAATCACAGAAACAAAGCTTTATGTCATCATGGTGCATATGAAAAATATGTAATTGTGACAAGTGTTGCAGCCATAGCAGAACATTAAATTTCACCCATAACCCAACCAAGGTAAATAAGAAATACAAGGAAGTTTTATTGACAATAAAATTAGCCAATATATCAAGTTGCATGTTTTAACAATGCTGCCAACTAGCAAATCTCTCCCTGGTGTATCCTGATCATGGGCATAAACAGTTGATATCCAGGTCTGAAGGTTATTAACGTACCTGTCATGTTGCAGTACACCAGAAACGGTCCCAGGGGGCCACTTCCATCAGCATCAATATAGTAAAGCCCAGAAGGACTTCCTCGGTGCTTGTGGGCCTCGCAAGACTGCTCATACAGCGCTGTAGGAGAACACCATCCATCAGAAGCAGAAGGGATCCCTCAATTGGTTTAATTAGTGTCCAAAGGTTTCCATTTCTGAATTACAGACACATGATACATATTACCTGACATCATTTTTATTAGTTTGTATGACATTATATTTGATTAGGTAGAAGACAGAAAGGTGACATATTATAAATTAAATTTACTTTCACTAACAAAGGAGAAGGACTTTAGCAAGTCAAGATGGATTTAAGTGTTGAACATCGTTAGGTGCTGAACAAATATTTGGCATATAGTTCTATTTGAAGAAAAAGGAAAAAGGGTACTGGTGACTAAAATGAAGATTTTCATGGGAATGTGAGGTCACTGGGCAATGGCTAGGGATTGTATTTTCTCTATGTAAACAGAGGTCACTGGACAATGTCTAAGGATTGTATTTTCTCTATGTAAATGTTCTCTTGCTTTTGAGCAAGGAAGATGAAGATTCTGAAGCCTAGTGTCAAAAATTTGAAGGGGCATTTTAGAAAAATCTGTGAATCTGAATCCTATCTGCTGTGGATTCATGATTCTATTCAAATTCCCTCCCTTACAGAACAGCTTAACCTCCTCCAGCAGCCTAATACCTTCCAACAAGTCATGCCACTTCCAACCCCCTCATGGTTTAAAGCTATAAATTCTCTGCCATTTAGTAAAACCTCAGGATACATTTTTCAAGATTGCTTAAATCTGTGTTTTCCTGCACTGCAATTCTAATTAGCCCCCAATCTGTGTAATTTTCTTTGTTCTGGATGAGGTTGACTTATTCTGGGTCCGCAGCAAAGCCCAAGGAAGGGGATGAGAGTTATTCTCTCTCATTTTGCAAAACAGGAGGAAAAAAACTTTGCAAGAGGACATCTTAAATCTAAGCAATCTTAAGGTAAATACAACCAGCTATCAAATGAGAATGGCCCCACGGTAAATGGTCCAAATCAACAGAGTTATTTAACAAACTTCTTAGATGAAAACACAAGTAGGATAGATTGCTTTTCTGTCATTCTTTCCCACTTGTATATTTATTTAAATGCACAAACTTATAAATGCCTGCTCGGATTCATTCATATTAATGACAATGATTAGACCTGCATAGTTAACAAATTAGGAGAATTCTTGTTTTATATTAATTTCTTGACTTAAATGACAATGTGTACACATATAATTATATGAGTGTCCCAAACAAAAATGACCTGTTATAACTCTAAGCAGTCTTGTCTCACGGTCCTTGACTGTGGGCTTGGTGAAATTTCACCTTTGCTTGGTGTACCTCTTTGGAAGCCACAACTATGGAGAACTGTTGAGAGCCACAGCCGAAGGGGCCCCAGCAAACTTCCAGCTGCCAGCAATCCAGCTGCCGGCTGATGATTGGCTCACAGCGGCCCCAGCAACATCTAGCTGATTGGCTCCTCGGCCCCAGCAGCATCTAGCTGATTGGCTCCTCTGCGGTGATGCTCATTGGACTGTTTCCCTGCCCTTTCAGACCACGGAGCTGCTCATTGGGGGACTTTTTGGCTCTGCCCACGTGACCCAGCCAATCGGCCTCAAGAGCAGGAGGATTGTGGGAGGTGGAGAGAAGCTTGTGGGGGGAGAGACAGGCTTGTGGAAAGCCGGTGGTGGCAGTTGAGGCTCTGAGGGGTTTTTCCTGAGATGCTGTTTGTTTGGCGTGTTTGGTTCTAAAAATAAAGTTAGTTTCTTTTGACAAGTGGCTCCTGATTGTGCCCAGCCAGACTGCGGCAGAGAACCACAAGTAGCAACCAAATCATTACATCAGAGTGAAATCTGAATAGCTCCTCTTCAAATTTCTGATATTTTCCCTCAGATTTCCTCTGAGTTACATTTGCAGCAGAGATGGCCGTGGACTGTCTGCTCCCTTGAGAAGCTCTTGTCCAGATCCTCAAGCTGGGAGCACAGGATTCTCCCTGAGCCTCATTTGCATGCAGAGAGCAGAGTTAATAACACTCCACACCCTGCCTTCCTGTTACAGTTTTTATAAAAATCAAATTAAAGAAGTCACAAGGAGTTGCTATAAGTTTCAAGTAGAACCTCAGTGCAAGGGAATTGAAGTGATGATTTCCTATCTTACACCTTTCCTTAAAGACCCAGGGAAGGGCAAATTGTTTGCAAGGAGATGTGGAGAAATGTCAGCAGAGATGCACAGAAAGAAGAGAGCTTTAAAAGTTCAAACAACAACAACAAAAAAGGGTGTGTGTGTGTGTGTGTGTGATATTTTCAAGGCTTCTGGCACGTTCTAATCATTAACAAATTAGTGGTCAATAAACTAGTCTGGGCTTTAAAAGATAGAGGATGATTCTTCACTAAAGACAGATGACGTCTACTTGGGAGAGGCAGTATAGACAAGTTATAGCAAGTCACCTAGAAGTGCTTCCTACAGTGTCTATTAGGAGCACGTGCAAAGCTGGTTCAAACAGACCTTTGGGCTCCATCCCAAGAGATTCAGGTCCAATAGGTTTGGGTAAGACCTGAGGTTCTTTATTTATAACACATTCCCAGTGACTCTGAAGCTTCTGGTATGAGGAGCACCCTTCAAATGCTGGAGCTAAGGCTCTAGAGCCTACTTCCTCAAGTTCAAATCCTCAGGGTGCCTTTAAGTAGCCTAAAGGTCAGGTTACTTGACCTCTCTCTGTCCACAGTTTGCAATGAGGATAATAATAGTACTTTATTCTTGAAGCTGCTTTAGGGTTAAATGAGTTAATTCATGCAAATCACTATTTGCATGAGGATAGATATATTTATGTACTCCATAAATGCATACTTTTATAATTATTCACTTATAATCATCCTTACCACCAAGGAAAATTACAGTTGTAAGAGACCTTAAAGGTCTGCTAGTTTTTAGCTGATATCTAATTGCCTCTTCTATAATTTCCATCCCATTATTTTTATACTTAATTTTGTTACATTTAATAATAAATGTTGAAAGCCAGGCAACTGAGTATTTTTCCACTTTTCTTTGATTAAAAGGATTCTCAATTGAAACTACAGCCCAACTCAAGGAAAGGAATGAGTTGTGACATCATGCATCCCTGATTTAATCTAGCTTAATTCTACTCTTTACTTTTATTCTACCATACCTAATTCATCATATTTACCAGCTTCTTTTGTGTAACCGACTTAGTACTCCATATTTCTGTACACTGTCTCAACACCCTTGTATTAAATGAGCTTGGGGTTGGGGACAAAGCTCAGTGGTAGAGTGCTTACCAGCATGCATGAGGCTCTGGGTTTGATCCCCAACATGGTGGGGGATAACTAATTAATGATAAAATAAAGTGAGGTGGTTTAAATATAATCTAGAAATTAACTATTATTAAATATTTATTAATTGATAATATTAATAATTAATTACTTTTAATTAATAAAGACTTATTTGAATATGTGATCGAAAAGATGCAGGCACACATAAACAATGAATGAAAAGGAAATGAAGTGACAAAGACACAGAAATGAGGACAATGAGGTGGAAGGCTTACGGGAATGGCAGGTCTCTCCAGTGTAACCTGTGCCCTCGCAGTTGCAGGAGAAGGTGTCCCAGGACTGGGCACATGCACCCCCATGTTCACAGAAGCTGGGCAGGCATCTGTAAGGAAACAGATACGGCTGTAGTCTCCTTGATGAGTCTGCATAAAATAAAAATCCTCTTTACTAAAAATAGATTAATGCAAAAGTATAACAACCCAAGAAAATGCCATGTTACTAGTGATTTGTCATCAAGATTTTCTGGTCACCATGATATATTTATTTAAATACATTTACTGGCCTATAACTGATCATTATGTATCTTTGACAACTTTCAACACGTCATATTTTTTTGTTGTTGTGACAAAATACTAACTTAATGTGTGGCTGGCAAAATCAACTACAAATATAAAATTTGCCACGCATTATACTACATTGTGGACATTTTTCAAAGAAGAGGAGACAGAGAAGGAGGAGAGGAAGACAGGAGCACCTTCCATCATAATGCAACATAGCTCCAGGAATCGTGAAGAACATTTAACTTAGGTCCACGTGTTGCCCTTTAGATTTAGAATGGGTGATCAATTAATGGTAGATTTAACAATGTTAAGATCCATCTGTGGATTCAATGCAATGTCTATAAAATTGTCAATGGCTTTAAATTTTTATTTTTAGAAATAGAAAAATTTATCCTAAGGTACATGGGGAGTCTCTGGGGACCCCCAATAGCCAACACAATCATGATAAAAAACAGAGTTGGAGTTCTCGCACTTTCAGAGCTTTCTGGATTCTGTTGCATCCCACTGTAAAGCTGCAGAGGCTGTTCCAGCCTACTGGCCTCCAGGTTCTTAGAAGAACTTGGAGAAGGGTGCTGGGTGAACGGGCAAGTTTCTAAGCATAGTGTGGAGATTCCAGGGAGAAATGGTGGCCTCCCAGAGGCTGTGTTGGGATCTGCCCCTGCCCACCTTGTCCCATGGCTGAGAATGCTGCTCAGGAGATAGGAGGGAAGTGAAGGACCTAAACACCACTGGCCTTCTGCGCTGTAGGCCCAGCACTTGGAGGCCAAGGCTGCGAGGGGAAAAGCAGTGTGTACTGGAAAGGCAGGTGCAGAGGAGCTAGGACCTGGCCCTGCCTGCAGGGGCCCAGAGCAGGAGCCGGAGAGGGGCGGGGAGGAGGGAAGTGAGACCTCCTGCTTGTGGCTGGAGGACCAAGGCTAGGCAGGAAGCTACCATGTGGACACTGGCAGGAGTCTCCAGGGGCTTCAAAGGGATCCTTCGAGGAAACTGAAAAGGTTGTGGAAGAAGAGATCACGAAATTACCTGCCCGTGCCCCCAGCACCCCCAAGTGCTGGCACCCCAGCAAAGTACCACAAGTTTAAGGTCAAGATTTTGACTAATTACCTCAAGTTAAGGAGAGTTTAGTCTAAGAGGAGAATAATTATGGGCAATCAGCATCACAATTTTCAAATATTTCAAGGGTCAAAGTATGACAGGGATCCAGAGCAATGAGTAGATGTCAGACCGACAGGTAAGAAGGTGGGAGGCCGGGGTGGAGGAGGCCCATTGGCAGGTGTCCTCCTCCCCTTCCCGTTCTCCTTGCCCATGCCCCTCTTCCCCTTCTCGTTAACATATGGAAAATTTTAAGATCAACCTGACTTGAAGATTCCACAAATCATAAGAAGATTACAAACCACTGCTGATAATGTAGTTTTACTTAAAATATCTTAGAAGAACTATTAAGTGATCAGAAACATATGAGCAGGCTCATCATAATTTTTTTCAACTAAACATGTCAGTAATTTTACTTGTAGTACAGAGAAGCCACCCAGAGTAAAGGAGACTAATGCTGGAGAAAGTGTGCAGAGGTGGGGAGCCTGTGCCACCTGGCAGTTCTAGTGGGGAGGTAGCAGGCCTTCCTGTTCAGGGAGCTCCAGGTGGCCTGGACCATGACACAGGGCATGGAAGGCAAAGGTGGACTTTTTTTTTTTTAACGCTAAGGTCATGAGAGTCTGAAGGAAGAGGCCGTGCTCTGCAGCATGTTATCCCGAGTACACGTGGCTGTTTTTTGCTTAGCCTAAAATTTTGGTAAAAAAGGCTACTTCATATCCCATACCTTTAGTAGGCTTTTTAGTTTTGGTGTTTGAAGGACATATTTCTATTTTGTGAATTAAAATAATTTTTAATTCCCCAAAAGGGCGAGAGTGGTTCATAGACCTGTGTTCAGGATATTTAGAGGTGAGTTTTCAGGATTTCCAAACTGAATGAGAAGGGAAATAGCAAAGCTCTTTTACTCTTTAGAGTATCACATGGTAGCACCAGGTTTCCCATTTTTATTGCTTATGATATGTAGTTGTTTTAAAAACATGTTGAAGGGCTGGACTCTATACACTGACCCAAGAATGAAAGAGTGAATAACCCACATTTGTAATCCCATTTGAAAAGAATTTAAAAGTGTTCCTTAAAACCCTTCTCTGAGCCGGGCACGGTGGCATACACCTGTAATCCCAGTGGCTCTGGAGGCTGATACAGGAGGATCATGAGTTCAAAGCCAGCCTCAGCAAAAAGTGAGGTGCTAAGCAACTCAGGGAGACCCTGTCTCTAAATAAAATACAAAATAGGGCTGAGGATGTGACTCAGTGGTTGAGTGCCCCTGAGTTCAATCCCTGTTACCAAAACAACAGGATAACAGCAACAAACCCTTCTCTGAAGTGTTACAGCGCACAGTGGCTGAGGCAGCATATCATGGCGGAACACATGACAGAGGAAGCTGCTCACCTCATGGCAGCCAGGAAGCAAAGACAGGAAGGGGTGGGCCCCAACTTCCCCTTCCAGGGCACGCCCCCAGTGACCTAACTTCCTCCCTCTAGGCCCCACCTCCTGAGGTTTCTCCATTCCCACCTGAGGAAGCCGTTAACACATCCAAACCATAGCGCTTCATAACAGATAAGATGTGAACAGATCACATCTGGGGTCTTTGACAAGATATCAATGACTTACAAAAGGAGAAAATCACACATTTGCATCACAGCTGAGCTGACTGCCCTCAGTCCTCACAGTGAGAGCCCTGGGATACCTCCCCGTGAGCCTCTGTTGGCTGAGGGTCCTGCATCTTGCCTGGTGAGCTGGTGCCCAAAGAGCAGGTGACCAGCTCCATGGCATATCTCCAGACACAGGTGACCAGCTCCCAACCACCATCCCCATGACACAGCCTGGTCCCGTCCATGCAGTCCTGAGTCTCTGCCAAGAATTCCAACCCCACAGGCAAAAGTAGGAGTTATTGGGAACAATTGTTTTGTGATACACTCTTCCTCCTTGACTGGCTGTTTTCCTACAAATCAACAGAAGTTTCAAGGGGGAAATTATTCTTGGTTAAATCAAGTTCTTAGTAGTGAAAATTTCAATCCGTGGAAATTATTTTCTTTTAAAATATCACTATGCTTTGTAAACCGAAACATGTTTAGGGGGAGAAGACAGTTTTATGGCTAATGTTTAAAGCAGAATGACTAACGAACTACTTATAAAGTAGAAGGCAGTAAGTTTGGACATTCTAAAATTTGTATTAACTTTTTATTTTTAATCTATAGCATTAATTCTTGGCTTTATTTTATTTTAATTGACATTAAAGCTGTATAGGTTTGTGGGGGTACTGTGTGATGTTTCCACACTTATAGTTACGTGTCATAATCTGCATTTATTTATTGATGGCACATGCCAAGGGGAAGGCAATAAGGCATTTCATATAGAGAAATATCATTCAGGTAAGTGATTATAACTTTTCAGCCAAAAGTAATAGAGATAAGGCATAACTGGCAGTATGAACTGTGTGAAGGCTTAATTTTCAAAAATTAAAATATTTTTCTTGCAGTCTCCATATTTCACTGAGTTTGTCAGTACACAAGTATCTTCACCAACCTCTGTGGCTCAAACTGTTACAGAGATTACTTCATATCTGCTCCATGGAATAGATTTGGTATTTGGTAGCTGACCCCACAAATGAAAACAACAGTGCCTTGTCCAGACACACTGCCCCTCAGCATGGCCACCCACAAGTGGCATGGTGGCCAGCACTGGGTTGATGACTAAGAGCCCAGTAACATGGGGCCATTTTTAGTTAAAATTCCTAAGGTATACATAAGCCTTTTTATAAAATGCTATCATTTGAAAAACACAGTTTATACAACTAACAATGAAGGTTTTGAATCCTCACTGTAATATGACTATTTTATTCCCTGCAGAAAGATAGTAGATAAAAAGAGAGAATGAAATTCACTTTTCCCCCATGCGTCTGCCTTTTTTTCCTTTTAGCTTTGGAGGCAGGGCTGCTGAGATGGCCCAGGAGGCCCCTACCTGTCGGTGATGCTGCAGGCGTCTATCTGAAGATCGCTGAAACTCCCCTGCGCCCCCTGCTGTACCGAGATGGGATCCACCACTGTGCCACCAATGGAGATGAGCCTCAGGCATCCTTGAAACCCTCCCAGAAGACTTGCACATCCAGAGCCTGAGCTGTTGTCGGGACAGCCTGCACACAGAGACAAAGACAGGAGGAAATCCACAACCTCACCAAGCTAGTCCACAGCATTTATTCTGAGGACTGCAGCTTCCCCTGTTTACGGATTCTTGAAGAATGAATTTTGATAGGAGGTGACACATTACATCACTCACTAGATAGGTGAGAAGGACACAAGTCAGCGTTGATCAAATGTCGGATAATACCTGGAATTCAGAAGTTTAAAAAGTGTGGGGGGGTAAGATTTAAAATTCATGACAAGGAATTAATGTACATCAAAAAGAAGAAATGTTTGGCTTTTAAAATTTCATCGAAGAAGAAATAATATATTTTGGCATCATGTAGCATTAGTAAGAGAAATTAAAATGAAGGTGAAGTTAAAATAAGTCAAGTCATAGCCCGTATTTCATGTAAGAGCCTCTGTATTTATGAAGTGTGGAAAATGCTACTTAAAAGTATAGTTGGATGCTCCTATGTATCTAAACATGTTTAATATCTACCCTGGAGGTGTTTTTGTGTGTTAGAATGTGTGTGCACTTGAGAATATTTTAAAACTAGTTCTACGTTGACTGAACAGAAATACTTAGATTGGCTTTTCTACTAACAGAATTATTTTATTAGATGCTTTAGTCACATATGTAACCAAAGACTACATTCTAGTGTTAACAACTTAGTACAAAAAGAAAAAGGAGACACCTCACTTCTAGGGCACATAATGATAAATAAAAGAAAAGTATAGGCTGTTCCATGAGCGAACAGAAATTAAACAGACACTTGATCATTTCCAATATAATAAGTTAAATGTTAAAAGTCTCATCACACCCATCAACTAACTTACAAATGGTAATGCTTATGATATAATTTACCTTGACCGTGTGGGCTTTGTGGAAGAGCAATACTTACATTAACAAGTATGAGCAAGACCACAGCTTTGATTTGAATTAGGCAATATTACCCACACATAAATTCAAACATGTAGAAAATTAGTGATCTGAACTCTCCCACCATCTGCTGAGCTACAGTACATAACTTGATAATGGAACTTAGATTCACGTGTTGCCAGATTAAGAGAAGGGATAAAAGTGCACACTACTATTAAAGAAAGGAAAGCATTACAAAGGGACTTGTTGCAGAATCAAATTACAAGGCATTTATCTAAAACAAGAGTCTGCAAATGTAGGAGGCTAGGTAGTAATGCTTAAGGTTCTGAGGAGCACAATATGATCTCTATCAAATATTCTCCTTGCTTTTTCTTTTTCTTAACAACATTTTAAACATATGAAACAATTCTTTGCTTTGGCCTATATAATAAGTCATGGGTCATAGATGGTCTAATTTTGATTTAGTAAATATTGTTGTGATTATGAAATGGGTGCCTCATTTCTTAATGGCACAATGCCAAATACATCATAAATCAAATTAATAATTTTGATTGTGTATCATGAGATTTTAGCTTTTGAAATTTTTTATTATTTGCCCTATTTTTAAAAAAACTTGTTTGTGTTGACTGCACAGCATTATTCTTTTCAAGCTTATGGAATCTAATTTCTTTATTTTTTACATCATTTAAATATTAGGTATTGCCAGGTGCATGCCTATAATTCCAGCAGCTTGAGAGGCTGAGGCAGGAGGATGATGAGTTCAAATCCAGCCTCAGCAACTCAGCAAGGCCTGAAGCAACTCAGTGAGACCCTGTCTCTAAATAAAACACACACACACAAAAGGGGTGGGGATGTGGCTTAATGGTTCAATCTCTAGTACCTCCCCCCCCCAAAAGTAAATGCCATAGCTCTATGGGTTCTAGATTGATCTGTAACTTGGAATTTATTTCTTTATTTTACCAGTGTGACCAAAGGTACATTTATTTTCTAGCTTTTTATCATGGATTATTTAACATCTGTGCATTACTCAAGAACTATAATTCAAATAAAACCTCAAAGTATCAAACTTAATTCAACAATTGCTTGAAAAAAAAAGAATTAAAGAATGATTACAGAACATAGGTGGTTTTCATTCATCTGTCTTTGACTTTATGTTATCGATCACTTGTACAATTTCAAAGAACAGGCAATGAAGATTCTTTTTATTGGAACCAAGGAATTAATTCAATCAATGAATGGAATGGAATAAAATCCTCTTAAAGCTTGCAATGCACAATGTTTGAGAAGAATCTGGAGTTGGGCACTGGAGTGCACACCTGTAATCCCAGCAACTTGGGAAGCTGAGGCAGGAGGATCACAAGTTCAAGGCCAGCCTCAGCAACTTAGAGACCCTGTCTCAAAAATACAAAATAAAAGAGACTGCGGATGTAGCTTAGGTGGTAGGTGGGAGAACACTCCTGGGCTCAATATTCAGCAGCAGCAGCAGTAGTAGTAGTAGTAGTAATAGTAGTAGTAGTAATAATAATAGGATCATGTGGTCTTCAATGTATTAAACTAGGTAATGAACATTAGCTGTACCAGAGGCTGTTTCTATGTTAAGAAATGATCTATTTCTAATTCATGTGCATCAATTCAACTTAACCACTTTACATTGTAAAAATGGTTAAATCTATTGTTTTCCAAGGTTTACATTCAAATGGGTAAATTCAGTTAAATAGGCATGCATAGAGAAAATTCAAAATTTACTAAAAAAACAGACAAGCTCAAGAATATTTATAAAAGTAATTTTTATATAATTTTATAAAAAATAAAAGCAGAGAGGACAATTGTCTAACAATAGTCAAATTGAAGAGCAGAGGTAATAAATAAGATAGGTGTATTCATGTAATGGAATAGGTACATTCTTTTGAAAAATATTAAATATTTTCAAAATATTTTTGTAATGATCTTAGTAAAAATAAATACTATTATGACATAAATAAAAGTAACAAGCATGTATTACATTAGCACATATATATTTATAGAAATGTGCTCTTGAATGCCTGGGCATTATTATAACTCACAGGCAGAATGTTAAACTGTAAGTGGTAATACAATATTCATTGTTTGACAAATAATAATAATCTCCTGTAGTTAATTTTATTTGTTATTATAAAGAGTTTGGATGGCATTTTCCCTCCTACCTGTCAGAGCTTCATAAACTCTTACTTTTGAAATGATAGTTCTTGGCTTTATTGACTATTTGCCCCTTAGGGTTGTTATAAAATCTATCACATGAAGCAACATCCTAAAGCAACTTTGGTCAGATGTGCACTCCTCAGAATGGGAGGGAAGAGAGCAAGCAGAGCTTCACAGGTGGACAGTGTCCTGCACTCTCACTGAAGGTGCTCACAGGATGGTCCATGTTGGAACAATGGGATGCATGATGTGTGGGCTTGCCGTCAATTTTAAAGATGAATTTTCCTTTAATATTGCACTCTCTCCATCAAAACAACTCTAGGAAGAAAGTGGCAAGATGTGAAGCTGTCCTGATGCCATCAGCAGCTGGAGCACTGATTGGCAAGTACATCTTACTATTGGCAATTTGAATGACATGAGGACCTTCCGTGTGAACATCCCAAAGATGAAGATTTATCACACCTTCCTTAGCCTCCCTTCTCTGAGCTCCCTCTCCAAGGCTGTGATGTTTTCTAGCTGCACTCAAAGAGCCGGCAGATATTCTGCTTAGGAAAGGCTGCCATGTTCCTTGATTTAGTAAAATGTTTCCCTTGTTATTCCTTAGCAATAAAGGAAAGTTGCAATCACTGGTAAAGTTAAACTATTAGTCACTTTGGACAAAACATGCTTTTCATTTATCAGGTGCAAGAAATACCTAAGATATTCTAGAGAAGCCAAGGCTCTGGGGAACATATGTACCATGTACCATGCAATAAAACAGGCGAAAAAAATAAGTACTCACGATCATTTATCATTGTGACTGTCCTATGGAGCAGCGTGATGAAGTGAAGCTCCATAAAGGGTGGCCTGTTTAAAATTGTCCCCACACATGACCCTTTAATGAAGCTTATCTGGTAGACATGCATTTCAGTTCATAATTCCCAATCTCTTTTCATCATCCCCATTAAAAACAAAGTAAGCCAGCATGGTGACTGTAGTTAATCATACTGTATTGTTTACTGGGAGCTTGATGAGAACAGATTTTAAGTGTCCTTAGTCCTCTTCCCACACACAAATGGTAACTGTGAGTGGTGGGATGGATGTGTTAATAAATTTGACAGTGGTAATCCATACACGATGTTCGTCTATGTTATGTATACCTTATACACACACACACACACACACACACACATATATATATATATACATATATATATGTATATATATATATATACACACACACACATATGCATATATATATATAATTTTTGCTAACTAAATATTTTTAAAAAGAAATTTAAAAAATCAAGGGGCTCCTGGCAGAGTGGCAGCAGCAGGGGGCTGAGGCCTGACCTCTGGTGGCCAGCTGCACAGTAGTGTGCTGGGGTCCAGGAGGAAGTAGCCAGTAGCTCTAGCCTTGCAGGTGGATCACCCAATGCTCTATCTCCACATGGTGTCTCTCTGGGTGTTCTCCCTCTGTGTTTCTCTGTGTTCTCATTTCCCTTTTTTATTTTGGCTCCAGGGATGGAACCCAGGGGCACTTAACCACTGAACTATGTCCCCAGCCCTTTTTATCTTTTATTTTGAGACAGGGTCTCACTAAGTTGCTGAGGGCCTCCCTAAATCTCTGAGGCTGGCCTCAAACATGCAATCCTACTGCCTCAACCTCCCAAATTGCTGGACTATAGATGTGCACCACCCTGCCTGGCTATACCCTCTGCTTTTTAAAAATAAGGACACCTGTCGTATTAGATTGGAGGTCATTTTAATGACCTCATTTGTTTAAATTTAAGTTTTTAAAAATCAATTATACTTTTTGTTGTTATGTAGATTTGTTTATATCTATGAACTTCAATATGACATTTCAATTCATGTATACACTGGGTAATGAAGGATCAACTCAGGATAAATAGCATGTCCATCACCATAAATTTTTATCATTTCTTCCAGGTGAGTACATTTAAAATCTCTTCTCTCTTTTGAGATATGCAATGCACTCCCGTTGACTATTCTCATCCTTCCCCCAGGCTCCAGTAACCATTATTCTACTCTCAACTTCTATGAGATCCACTGTTTTAGATTCACAAGAAAGTGAGATCATGCAGCATTTGTCTTTCTGTGCCTTGCTTATTTAACATAATGTGCTCCAGGTTCATCCATGCCATAGGAAATACCAGATTTCACGATTTTTTGCACCTGAGCACTATTCCATTGTGTTTATATACCATTTTTTAAAAATCATTTATCTGCTGATGGACAACTGGGTGCATTCCATATCCTGGCTGTTGGGAACAGTGGTGTGACACCCTTGTGAGTGCAGGTGTCTTTCTGACACACAGATGGCATGTCCTTTGGCTATAAGCCCAGGAGCAGGATTGCTGGGTCATAGGTAGCTTGGATTCTAGTCTCTTGAGGAATGGCCACACTGTCTTCCCTACTGGCTGTGCTAATTTACATTCCCACCAACAGAGCATAACTTGCTCCACCCTCACCAGGGAAGACCTATTTCCAGATACTGTCATAATCTGAGCTCCCTGTGAATCTGAGGGAGGGACAAGCCAACCCATCTCATTGCCTCTGAAGAAAATAGGATTTTACCTGTGCACATGCCCACTTGGGTTGTGGTTGCTACGTATCTATTTCAAACAGTTATTGACACTTCCTATATGTTTGGATCAAAGGTGACTTTGGTCCTGGGTCAGCCTCACCATTTCTAACACTTTATCTGCTCTATGGCTCATGCTCACGTTGTTATGTTAGCTCTGAGACCACCCATAATCTAAACAAAACAGAACAAAACCATTGTTCTGACATTTTAACTTTCTGTTGAAAGGATGAGGAGTTGTAGGGATGAGATCCAGTTTCCTTACTGGTCAGCAGGGGCCTCTTGATCCTTCTGGCTGTCTGTTTTCCTAGTCACATTGCTGGATCCATCTTCTAAACCAGCAACAGCACAGACGTCTATTTCTAATCTGCCTGAATCCTCTGTCACACCTCCCTTGGGCTTCTCTGCCACCAACTAGCGTCAAATCCCCAAGTGCTCTTAAGATTCCATTGAGCCTGCCTGGATAATTCAGGATAATGTGCCCATGTCAAGGTCTGTAACCTCAATTACATCTGCAAAGTCTTTTCAACCATGTAACACGTTCATGGCTTCCAGGGATAAGGGCAGCTCTGGGGGGAGCTCTGCCCACCCAAAATGTTCACACATTCCTTCATGAAATCCTGTTGGCTTTCATGTATTTGTCTATTGAGACACATCAAATACTTTCTGAAGGAAATGGGAACATGTATGAACACGCATTCCCAGAGAGTGCCACGTCTCACATTTCCTATTGTCTGTTCAGTGGATTCTCTCTGGACCTTTTCCATCTGGGCTAACAGTTGTGCAAACAAAGCCACTTGGATCACAATTCCGTCATCTGCTCTCATTATACAGATTTTTGTCTTCATCTTCACGGAATATCCCTGAACAGTTTATTGTTCATCTGCATTTGGTTGGAAATTTTTTTTATTAGAGATAATTATTTGACAATATCACATCTTTTGAGAGCAGACGTAAGGGGTATCTTGTAACTCATATTTGGAAATCCTAAATTTAGCATCATCCTCAACATGCAAAACTCCTCAGATGGCTAGCAATCTTGGACCACCATTCCTAAAGCTAACTGAGCATGGTCCCAAAGGTTGGCATGTGTAGCGGCATTTTCTATTTATTTATTTAGAGGACTCCTTATATTATCATCCATTCAAGATCAGTCAAGATGCTAATTCCTTGATGTCTTGAAACTGAAACTCCTTTTGTTTACCCAGAGAAGTGGAGCATCTAACTATAGATACATGTATACAACTGTTAAGAGGTAAATTGAGGAAAAGTAAAATGTGAAGTGTTTTATTTGAGCTAAGAACAATTCTCAAGTGAGGCAGCTATAAAAGGGAGTTGATTCTGCCATGAGGGTGGAATGGGAAGGCTTTGTCCTCAAACATGGAAGTGAGCATCTGCTTTCTGTATACACAAACACACACACACACACCGATTGTTTGGTTATACAACTGCCCATTTGGTATACCATGCTGGAAAATCCCTGTGTATGTAAGTTAGTTGGTGGCTTCTGATCTATTAACATCAGTTTTGAATTTTTGAAAGACAGGCATTTTCAAGAAATAAACCAAGATAAATTTTACCTTATGTTTGCAAATCAAACACGGTTAAGGTCACTTATGAAGCCTAACTAGCTTTGTTTGCTCAGGGATTTTTTTAGGTCATTTCAATTTACTGTAACAGTATAAATATACACTCTGTGGCACAAAACAGCTTAGTGAAGTCTTTGAATATATGTGGTTATTTGTTTGAAAATGTACATGTTCATTGTGAAATACGCACACACACACACACACACACACACACATATCAGAAGGCAATTGTGGAATGTATGCAAAAGAGTTTTTCTACTAGGTCTATATTCCTGAGTATATACGATTCTTCATTTTGTAGGAAAGGAGGGATGGGTGATGGGTGGGGTATAGCTCAGTGGTAGGATGCTCACCTAATATGCACAAGCCTTGGGGTTTGATCCCCAGGACCTCAAAATTAAAAAGGGAAAGAAAAAGAAAGGGGGGTGATGTAGTTCTGTGGAGCACTCCAATAACACATGGTTGCATTAGTTAAGTGGCCCTGAGTGTTGGGGTATCCACCAACTGTATGGTGAGAAGTGCGTCCACATTCCCCTGGAATCTCCTCCTGGGTTGAAAGCTCTCTTACTCCAGAATGAGTTTCCTTTCCCATAGGTAGTTTTCTTTCCCATAGTTTTTTTTTTTCCCATAGCTGGTGTCACTGTGACAGTCCTGCCATGCACAGGTATCTGTGCTCCTTTGTGTGGTTTCCTCACCTGTTTCTCTTCACTTGGCTTTCCGGGTATACAAGCCTAATCTGGAAGGCACATCTCGTCTCACGGAAGCATCTAGGATCCACGACATTGCTTTTAGGGTTTCTTTTAATAAAATAAAAAAAGAAGCAAAATTTCCTTCCTAATAATAGATCCGTGCTGTCCATCGGGTGCCTTAATCAGTTCAGATGGCGACACTGAACACCACCAACTGAGTGCTACTTAATGTCCCACAGTTCTGGAGAGGGGCAAGTCCAAGATGAGGGCCATGGGAGACGTGGTGTGCAGAGGGCCTGCTTTATGGTTCACAGGTGGCCACCCTCCTGTTGGGCTAGAGAAGTTTCTGGGTCCTTTTATGAGGGATCCCAATCCCATTCTTGAGGTTCCACCCTTATGACTTAATTATCCTCCCAAAGTTAAGATTTTACCATATGGATTTAGGGAGCATATAAATATCTGGCCCTTTGCACCAATGTAGCACCAATTGCACTATGGCTACATTTAGTATACTTGTGTCCTATTTATTCATTTGATGTTCAAAAAATCCTTTACAGTATATTTTATACTTCCTATTACTCCCTTCCTATTAAAAAATATCTATTTATCCATCTATAAACTGAGCAGTATAAAATGATTAAATAATATGAGTTGAAGTATATGTATCATAAGATTTTAAGTAAGCCAATGACTTTGGACAATACGATTTATTTGATTTTTTAATATTTTTTTTAGTTGTAGTTGGACACGTACAGTACCTTTATTTTATTTATTTATTTTTATGTGGTGCTGAGGATAGAAACCAGGGCCTCGCACATGCTAGCCGAGCACTCTATCACTGAGCCACACCCCAGCCTGATTTATTTGATTTTTAAAAGCTGTTAGAAGTCTAAAATCATCTGTTGTAGAGAATTTGCTTATGACATTTGCCGTCTGAAAAAATTCCACTTGTTTCCAGTTTACTGTGTGTAGCTAGCATGTATTTTCTTTTAACATTATGTGAAATTATGAGGTCATTGAAACAGTAAGTAAAGTTACTGGAGGGATTGATTTTTCCATCAGTAATATTAATAAATTAAACTTTTTAGATATGTTATAGAAGGAGAGAGATCATTTCTTAATATGAAGTGATTTAAATTGACAAGAGACCCTGGATGCAGGCAGGGCAGTAAAGATAAACATGGTTCCACTGTTCCCTGTAGTTGACCTGTCTACACTTACCTCCAAAATAATAGGTGTTGCTGGAACCCGTCAGCCCCGTCACCAGCGGTTGGAGAGCCATGTCACTGTCCACCACCACACTCAGGTGGTTCCATTTGGCAGACAGGGACACAGAATGCCACTGCCCGTCATTGAGCCCAGCACCTGGAGGGAAGGTCGGTGAAAGGCAACGATGAATTATGAACTTTGTAAACACTTGAAAACAATTTTTCAGACCACTGAATCAGTCCAGTGAGAGCAGTATTTACATGTTGATATATCACGGGGAAAAGGAAAAATTAGCTACCTTTCTTTAATGAAAGGATTTCATTTATTTTGACCAGAGCACACAGGTTAAAAATATTACTCCTTCTAACGAGTCACTTAATAAATTCTGATAATATGCTTAAAGTAGCACCTTGAATTTAATGATCAGACATACATGCCCAAAGCCTTTACCCATAGGATTCAAAATGAAGTTTATAAGGTTCAGTCTTCAAAGGGAATATTTACTTGCTTCACTAAATCTAATAAAAATAAATATTCTCAAAGAATCAGGAGATAGTTGTTCAAATTAAGTCAATAATAATTGTAGCCAGGTGTGGTGGGTGGCACATGCCTATAATCCCAGTGACTCAGGAGGCTGAGGCAGGAGAATCACAAGTTCAAGACCAGTTTTAGCAACCTAGCAAGGCCGTAAGCAACTTAGTGAGACCCTGTCTCAAAATTAAAAAATAAATAAATAAAAATAAAAGAATTGGGGATGTGGCTCAGTGGTGGTTTGATGGCCCTAAATTTAGTCCCTGGTACAAAAAAAAAAAAAAAAGAAGAAGGAGAAAAACTGTAAAAGTCTTGAATGGGAGAAAAGGTCATTAAGCACCCACTATAGTGCATCCATCAAGGTCAACTCTGCTTTCACTGTTTGAGGGACTTCAGACTAGTTGAGCGAAACTGGTGGTAATGCGAAACGATTTTTGTCCACAGAAATGCAAATTATTGTGCCTGTGAGATACAATAATTAGTTATTGATGATGTTGTATCTGTTTGTAAACTCATTTTGTCATTCCTTGTCAACCAGTATGCATGCTACTTGAAACTCTCCTTTGAACTGATTGGTTCATCTTACTGGTTTCCTTGTAACTAATAAGCTAAATAAAATATTTTTAAAATTTATTTTTATTTTTAGTTGTCAATGGACCTTTTATTTTACTTATTTATATGTAGTGCTGAGAATCAAACCCAGTGTCTCACACATGCTAGGGAAGCACTCAACCACTGAGCCACAACTCCAGCTAAAATCTTTAACATATATCCCTGTGTTCTCTGAATGAGAGCATTACAATTGCAGACACCATTGTACCTTCTTTTATTTAATATTTGATTTAAAATGCTTAGGAAGTAACTAGAGGCAGACCTTACATGTAAGTACACTATTTTTATATATTTACATTCATATCCATATTATTATATCATATTATTTTGAAATAATATGATAGCATGATAAATTCTTTGATGACAACTTTAAGCACTAAGCATTTATAACTACTACAGGTAGACTATTATTTTCCTTCATTAAGTAATATGTCAAAGATACGTTCCAATAAATGGATTAAAAGTGTAAAATTAGCCTGTTATGTGAACACTTCATTGGTGTTTCAAAATTAGGCAAAAATCTTAAGGAGTCAAATCTATTAACCTCTAGGTTATTGGGAATTTTTTAAATACATTTAACATTTTAGATGATGATCTTAGGAATCCTGCTAATTATTAAAATGGTTCTTGCTCAATTTATTTCCTTGCCACACATACTTTTAAAAAAAAAAGTTAATATATTATTAGCAAAATGTAGTGTGGCTCTTATATTTTAACGATTAACATTAATATTTCAGTTTTCCCTTTTAACCTTCAGTGATATGTGAAGCAGAAACAGAAATACTAAGAGTAATAAGGAAAAACTGCACTTTGAAACGCACCAGCTGACTAATGTCCTCAATGTAAACACAGGCCCTGTCTAAACACAATCTCTGGGCTCCTTTGATACTGTGCATCTCTGTGCCTTTTACCTTCTTTGAGTTCCTTTGCTACTGTTAAAACAGTAGAAAAGTCAAATTAAGTGAAAGATGGTTGTCCCCAGACATGCAAATGAATTTGGTGGAAACCCAACTGACCTCCTTCCTCCTCCCACCCAGTCCCACCCCAGGAAACAGACTAGTTTTATATTATATGTAAATTCATTGTCACTTTCTGCTTACATTATCTGTCATCCTCTGAATTATCCTTTGAATTTGTTGTAACATCTGGTTCCCTCACTAACTAATGAGTTAAATAAAAATCCTTGACATGTTCTTTTTATAACTATGTAAAATCCCGATAGTGCCCTCTCTAAAAATATCTTTGACAAATGAAAGTAAACTTGGTATAGTTTTTTTTTTTAAGTTTATCATTTATCCTGCAAATAATTTCTTTTTTACTGTTAGGTTATAATTGGCCTTTGACCATAATTTATATCCAAGGAAATCATTCACAGTATTTATGAACATTTTAATGAGAAATCTTAAATTAATGAAGCAAGATTCTACAACAGAGATGCTTTTTTAAACACGTTTGCATGTGAAGACGATCTCTTGTCAACAACTAAATTGGAAGCACAATGTCACTCTCGCAAATCCATCAGCTAAAGCGGTGGGTGTGTGGGTGTGATGTAAGGACTTTGTATTTAATTCTTGTTAGGGTGCAAACCGGAACTGGAGAAAACGCTTGCTCAGCACTTTGCCACATCTAGGAAACATGCAACACGTTAGCAATAATGTCTTACTACTGAAGGAAAAAATCTGAACAGATTTTGAAATGGACCAAAGAGGTGGCTGGGAATATTTTCAATGAAAGAATTAAGCTGATTTTATAATTCTCCATCTTTGACTAGGTATTTTACAACCATGTAGGGACAGAAACTGACTTGTGGAGAACAGAGAGCAATGCATGTGAGACCTATTCAGAGACACACACGCAGTTCAGGGAAGGAACACAGGGCTTTGCTGTCCTTTGGACACTGACCAGTTTTGCTAGATTTGCACTTATTTGCAATTTCATTTCAGGATTCCTTTTTCTGACTATAAATGTGAAGCATTTGGAGTTCTTTTTTGAACTGGCTTTCCTGGTGTAAAACACAAATCACTGGCCACAGTGGCACACGCCTGTAATCCAGATAGCTGGGGAGGCTGAGGCAGGAGGATCGCAAGTTCAAAGCCAGCCTCAGCAACATACAAATAAAAACTTCCTTAATGCCAAAGACTTTCACTCATGCTCCCTTTTCTTAGAACATTTCCTTTAGAAAACTTGTAAATTCTTCCTCTGCCTCTTCGATGTGTAGATGTGTATGTAGATTTAGAAAAAAAAAATACTTAGTTTTAAAATAACTTTAGAACTCTTATAAAAAAACTTATAAAAATTTGATTTAGATTCTTTGTAGTTTGACAACCTAGGGACATTTTTTTTTCTTGGGGTCCTGGAGACATTTCTTTGACATGTAGATTTGTAGATGTCTGTGTGGGGGTTTAACAAGGGTGCTGGTCCCACCTTGAGACTTACCTGCTTGTCAAAGAGGGAAGGGCTGTAGTTTTCTTCTGGATAAAACAAGGAGCCTTTACAGAGGTCTCCCCAGCTACCAGAGGAATTTAGTATGGGCTATTGTAGCAAAAGGCCCTGTTGGGTCCCCTTACTTAAAGAGGAGTTATCTTTTCTTGGTAGGAAATTCTTTATTAGAGCATATTAATTATACAGAGTAGTGGGCCTCACATTCTCCCATGAAGGTGACATGTTTTGGACATTCCCACACACCATCACCTCTCCTCCCACATCCTGTTCCTCTTCACTGATAGTTCCCTTCTACTTTTACGTGGTGGTCTTGTTTCTTGGATTTTTCTTTCTTTTTTTTTTTTTTCCTGCATTGGGTATTGAACCCAGTGGAGCTTAACCACTGAGCCACAACCCAAGCCCTTTTTATTTTCTTTATTTTTGGACAGGGTTTCCCTAGGTTGCTGAGACTGGCCTCAAACTTGTGATCTTCCTGCCTCAGCCTCCTGAGCAGCTGTGATAATAGGCATGTGCCACTGAGCCTGGCTTATTTATTAGATTTTCTTTTTAACCTTGAGGACTTATGTATAATGGGTGACATCTGGTTGGCTGCAGAGATGGATGAAATTTCTTTCTGTTTTTTATCACCTTGTTAGCAATCACTGAGATGCGCATCAAAGACTCATTTAATACTTATTCAATAATAAGACCATTTCATTCTTTTCTCTCTTTGTGAAGAAGATTCACTAAACTGGCAGGTGATCTCATTTTTTTTCCCTCAGAATTGGTTCTGTTACTAGTGAATGAGTTGATCTTTGACATATATTTATTTTGTATATTTTGGGGGAACAATTTCACACTTTTTTTTCAGGGGGGAATGCTATTTGTGAGGAAACAGAAAATAGGTTTGCATTTTCAAAAGGTGAAGAATACATATTCAATCTGAATACCTCTGTTTTATCCTCAGTCATTTTTCTGGGATCAGAGGAGGGTAGATACAGATTCTAATATCTGGACTTGCTGGATCATTCCAGAAGTATCTGCCCAACAAAAACAGGTCCTGGGAGGGAGATGGGAAAAAGGGGGGCCTGATGGGGGGGAATAACCATTATGCTAATAAAACCAGATTTCCTTCCTATTGTTCTCCCTTCTTTGAAAGACTAAGGTTTCCACTTCACAAGGGGAAAATAGTGAGGCTTAGGAGCATCTGTGATTTTTGAATTGCTGAGATTCTTCCTTGAACACAGGGTGTCTTGAAAATGGGTCAGCCTTCAGCAAAAGGGTAAGGACTCCTGGTATTTGTTGGCATCTTTCAGGACAAGGCAACAGTTATCAATTTGTCTGGTAGGCGAGTCAGCCATGAGCCGGTGGGTAGGGGAAGGACAACAGAGGGCAGGAAGAAACAGGGAAGACCTCAGACATCACTAAGAAAAATCCATGAGTCCCCAAACTGAGGCCACAGGGAGCCTGACTGGGCAGGCAGCCTTCTACAAAATGGCAGGGCTGGGGGGACAAACTGTCCAACCTTCGCCAACCCATACATAATTATGATCCCTTCAGGGAACTCTCGCTTGAAGTCAGGGGGAACTTTCATCAAAGCAGACAAGCTCCAGAGAGATGGGCCTTCTCCAAACATGGTTAATTATAATCCCTTAATGGAACTCCCAGTTCCAGACCATGCCACCACCATCTCTTGTAACCAGGTGGCCAGGACCCTCCCTGGTCACTAAAACCAGGTTAAGACCACCCCTTGTGACCTGGTCATCAAGACCCTCACATAATTAACCACATCAGGGGGTCCAAGAGAATAGAACCAGGACAAAGAAACTCAAACCCCTTAGAATCCTCAGTTCTGTAAGGCCACTCCCTTCTTTTCAGAGACCGTCTGAGCCATTCAGTGTCTATGCTGGACGCTTCTCTCTTATTCTCACTTTCCCAAATGAACTCCTGCATGTGACTCGTCTGAGATCCTTCCTGAGATTGCAAGAACCCAGGGCTCAAAATCTCCACGGCTACTTCTGTGGATCTCCTCCTCTGCTGCAAGTTACCTACTGTGTAGAGAATACCTCTCCCCATAGCAGAAGAGGAGAGCAGGCAGAGGGAGGAGGAGAGATGGAGAAGGGAGGAAAGTAACGGAAAAGTGAACATCTCTGTGTGGTATCTGCTTCACTAGGTCCCCCCCGGCATTTCTACTGGATGGAGGCTGGGCACATGTTTATCAGGAAATGGAGCTTAAGTATACGACATATTTTTCTGATATATCAGAAGTAGATCTGCAGAAAAGTGTCCTCCTTCCCTCCTTCCCTCCTTCCCTCCTTCCCTCCTTCCCTCCTTCCCTCCTTCCCTCCTTCCCTCCTTCCTTCCCTCCTTCCTTCCTTCCTTCCTCCCTTCCTTCCTTCCTCCCTTCCTTCCTTCCTTCCTTCCTTCCTTCCTTCCTTCCTTCCTTCCTTCCTTTTTCTTATTTGGTACTGGGGATTGAACCCAGGGGCTCTTAACCACTGAGCCATATCCCCAGCCCTTTTTATATTTTATTTAGAGACAGGGCCTCACTAAGTTGCTGAGGCTGGCTTTGAACTTGCAATCCTCCTGCCTCAGCCTCTGGAGCTGCTGGGTTCTCATTTCTTATATATAATCATTTTGGGTCCAAGGATCACTACAGTGATGGCTACATGTCCCCCATATAAACAGTCTGGAAGATCCTCAAGGAAAATGGCCATCCTGTTCCTCCAAATAGGAGCATTAGGTGTCTCGTGACCTCAGGTATGGACTTAGTACACAATGAGTCACCCTCTGGTTGGTTGTAAGGTTTATGTGAACATGCATTACCTGCTGTGACGTTCCTCAATGACTGCCCTGGCTGGAAGAGGCTCAGTTTGAGTTTTCCATCCTTAAGAAAGAGGAGAAAACTTCCCGCACCATGCCACAGTTCACCAAACAGCAAACGTCCTGCTTTGTTCCATGTACGAAACTGGAATGTGACAGATACTTTGTCCTCCCCAGAGTTGCCTGGCAGAGCCAGATAACTCCTAGAGCTCAGAAAAGTGACAGGGATGGTCTGTGGTTGTGGACATGAGAAGGACACATTTCCCTATAAATAAAACAAAAGGTCATGTTAGAGATTTACGGTGCTTCTAATGAAAGATAGACTTTGCACAGATTTACAAGGGCTTTTATTTTTCAATCCAGAATGATATTAATCTACTTGATAAAGCTTGAATCTATTATATTTGTCTGATTTTCCAATGTAAGTATTATCATAATTGGGAAAACTATCCTGATGACTTTGTATGAGTGTGTGTGTGTGTGTGTGTGTGTGTGTGTGAAAATCTCCTCTATTCTATTTCTCAGCATTAGCAAAGGAATAGTGGTATCATCTAATTCAATAGGAGTTATTCTATTTCCGCCATTTTCCAGTCCTCTGACAGATGACAATGACCAGGACATTTCCATACTCTGACTGTTCTCCTGAACAACATTTGATCTTTCCTAAATAACATTCCTCAAAATGTGCTTTGTACCAAGTTCATTATTTTACTGATTTTCCCATTAATTAATGAGTCAATTACATTTTTGACATAAGGTTTTCCAACAATTACATGGTTCATATTTGTTTAGCTTTTGGAAAATTATACTTTGACAGTATTCCAAATTTTTTTCCAGCTCAGGCAGTTACATAAAAAGTTTGCTTATAGTGTGTTTAGCATGAAGATATTAATTTTTATACTCAATCATGTCTCTGTTTTCTTGGGTAGCTTTTGAGTTTCCAGTCTGTTAGGAAAGTTTCATGCCCCCCACCAGGTTTTATGCATAATCACGCAGATTTTCTTCCAAGAATTGCTATCATTGTTGTTAGTTTCTCATCTTCCTGAAATTTACATATTTTGGTATATTCAAAATAGTGATCCAGGTTTACTTTCTGCCTTATGGACACTGGTCTTTTCCAGAAGAATTTATGAGATAGTTCCTCCATTTTCCACTGGGCTGAACCCTACAACTTGTTACTAACTTACAAGTAGCCTGGGATCTTTCTGATGTTTTTGCTTTGTTCTACCAACTTGCCTAACCCCACCCAACACCATCTTGATTCTTATGGGCTTAGGGCATGTTTTAATATCTGGCAAGTAAGGCATCATCTTTTTTTTTTATTATTGGTTGTTCAAAACATTACAAAGCTCATGGTATATCATCTTTCATACATTTGACTCAATTGGGTTATGAACTCCCATTTTTACCCCAAATACAAATTGCAGAATCACATCAGTTACACACTCACGTTTTTACATAATGGCATATTAGTGACTGTTGTATTCTGCTACCTTTCCTATCCCCTACTATCCCCCCTCCCCTCCCCTCCCATCTTCCCTCTCTACCTCATCTGCTGTTGTTCAATTCTCTCCCTTGTTCCCCCCCCCACTTTCCCCTCACAACCTCTTATATGTAATTTTGTGTAACATTGAGGGTCTCCTACCATTTCCATATGCTTTCCCTTCTCTCTCCCTTTCTCTCCCCCCACTCGTCTCTGTTTAGTGTTAATCTTTTCCTCATGCTCTTCCTCCCTGTTCTGTTCTTAGTTGCTCTCTTTATATCAAAGAAGACATTTGGCATTTGTTTTTTAAGGACTGGCTAGCTTTTCTTAGCATAATCTGTTCTAATGCCATCCATTTCCCTGCAAATTCTATGATTTTGTCATTTTTTAGTGCTGCGTAATACTCCATTGTGTATAGATGCCACATTTTTTTTATCCATTCATCTATTGAAGGGCATCTAGGTTGGTTCCACAGTCTAGCCATTGTGAATTGTGCCGCTATGATCATTGATGTGGCAGTATCCCTATAGTGCGCTCTTTTAAGATCCTCAGGGAATAGTCCGAGAAGGGCGATAGCTGGGTCAAATGGTGGATCCATTCCCAGCTTTCCAAGAAATCTCCATACTGCTTTCCAAATTGGCTGCACCAATTTGCAGTCCCACCAGCAGTGTACAAGTGTACCCTTTTCCCCACATCCTCGCCAACACTTATTGTTGTTTGACTTCATAATGGCTGCCAATCTTACTGGAGTGAGATGGTATCTTAGGGTGGTTTTGATTTGCATTTCTCTGACTGCTAGAGATGGTGAGCATTTTTTCATGTACTTGTTGATTGATTGTATGTCCTCCTCTGTGAAGTGTCTGTTCATGTCCTTGGCCCATTTGTTGATTGGGTTATTTGTTATCTTATTGTTTAATTTTTTGAGGTCTTTGTATATTCTGGATATTAGGGCTCTATCTGAAGTGTGAGGAGTAAAAATTTGTTCCCAGGATGTAGGCTCTCTATTTACCTCTCTTATTGTTTCTATTGCTGAGAAAAAACTTTTTAGTTTGAGTAAGTCCCATTTGTTGATTCTAGTTATTAACTCTTGGGCTATGGGCGTCCTATTAAGGAATTTGGAGCCCGACCCCACAGTATGTAGATCGTAGCCAACTTTTTCTTCTATCAGATGCAGTGTCTCTGATTTGATATCAAGCTCCTTGATCCATTTTGAGTTAACTTTTGTGCATGGTGAGAGAAAGGGATTCAGTTTCATTTTGTTGCATATGGATTTCCAATTTTCCCAGCACCATTTGTTGAAGATGCTATCCTTCCTCCATTGCATGCTTTTAGCCCCTTTATCAAATATAAGAAAGTTGTACTTTTGTGGATTGGTTTCTGTGTCCTCTATTCTGTACCATTGGTCCACCTGCCTGTTTTGGTACCGGTACCACGCTGTTTTTGTTACTATTGCTTTGTAGTACAGTTTGAACTCTGGTATCGCTATACCTCCAGATTCACACTTCCTGCTTAGAATTGCTTTTGCTATTCTGGGTCTTTTGTTTTTCCATACGAATTTCATGATTGCTTTATCTATTTCTACAAGAAATGCTGTTGGGATTTTGATTGGCATCGCATTAAACCTGTAGAGAACTTTGGGTAATATCACCATTTTGATGATGTTAGCTCTGTAAGGCACCATCTTTATGTTGTTCTTTATGTTTGTTTTTGTTTTTTATTTCAGGTGGTGGAAGGAAGGAACAGTGGTTATTTATTTACATGTATGAATTTCAGTTGCAGAGAAAAAGCAATTTTATTCTATTTGGAATTTTCTTTGAATAATTTTTATTAATATACTGTATATGATTTCGGGAGGGGGAAGCATTACTAAAGTAACATAGACAATCTAGGTTAGTAGTTCTCAAGCCTTGTTGAACCAGATGGCTGTTAAAAATCCACAACTGGACCAATTAATTCCCAGTCACCTGGAGTGGATTGAGGTGAGAGTATCTTTTAGATCTCCTCTGGTGCCTCCAAGCTAAAGCCAAGTTTTAGAATTAGTGTTCCAAGGATTAAAGTCACTTTTAAGACTGAATCATATTTCTAAAAATTCTGTCTTAACATACTTCAGAAACTAAAATAATTCAGTTTTCATTTTAAAATAATCTTCAATGTACATTAAAACTATATATATATATATATAAATCAGAACATCCATTCTTGGCTTTTTAAAAAAATTCTACTGAATGTGATAAATTTTATTGTAAAAAAATTTGCTATGATGAATTAAATATAAAAAGATGAACAGTAATAGACACTAACCCATAGTATAAATCTAATCATCAGACAATTATTAATTTTTAAAATTTTTTCATCAGCTGCAAATGGTAGGGATCCAGTCTGACTTGACCACAGCCATCTTGAGTCATAACAATCATGGTCCCAGAGGAAGCTGGCCAGTTTTGTTCTGCACAGTTTTATAGCAAACTACAAATAGATAAGACCATCAGAGTGGTAGGTGGAGCTTTAGAAGCTGACCCTGGTGCAGGAATGAGCTCAGTTCTTTGGCATTAGCTTAAGGAAGCCAGGAACATTCTGGCTTACATGAAGTCATTTTTGTCCTAATCCACACATATGCCCCTCCTTCTGACCCAAATTGTGGGGATGCATTGGTTTTGCTGCCACCCAGGATGGAGCTTCTGTCCATAAGACCCCCAATAAACAGCACTCTGTGCAGTCCTGACTGTCTGCCTCTCCCTCTTTAGCTTATCAGGGCTGGGTTGTTCCAAACACTTGTCCTCATTGTTTAGGTGGTAGTTGTTTGCACCCACCCAGAAGTGAAGCTTCCTGCCACAGATGAGTGATGAGTAGGTGAATGAGTCAATTCTGACAATTGAATTTTCCAAATTACATATATATATATATATATATATATATATATATATATATATATATATATTCCTTTTAAATGTTGAAGCAACAGATTTTCTATTTTTATAAAGAACACCTGACATTGAAATAACTCTCAAAATGGAATTCTTAGATCTACCATTTTTTATTCCCATGCACAATTTGGAAGGAATCTTCTTTTCACTTGTTTCCATGTCAAACTGATACATTTCACCATCTTCAACCAATTCAATTAATTAGTTAATAGTTTTCGTTAGAAGGATATTTAGGACCCCATAGGTGTCAGGGTTATTGTGGTTCTCCTGATTGGTTATAATCAGATGATAATTATGCCAAGAAATCCATCCATGATCCAGTGTAATATGAAATTTGCATGGCAAACAATGTCTGAGTCCCTCCAATAGTGTGGCTCCTTGTGACTCATTCTTAACTCATTCCTATTCACCTCAATGACAGTACATAGGGCAGCAGCCCCAAAAATGTCAGGGCGGGGATGAAGGACTCTTCTTTACACCAGGGATTGGCAAACACGAGATGGCTTGAAGTTCCAGAGGTGTTAGCTAGGCATCTTGGTGTGGAGGCCCATTGTCCAGACACATCTTTGCATTAGATTGGTTTCTGAGAATGCACCTCTGGCAAAGCTGGTGTCAGTAACTGAGAGTCTCCCTTCTCCTTCCTGTCCCAGAAATATTCCGTGTCTCAGTTTCTCCAAGGACGGGGATTCAGGTAAAAGACTGTTCTTCCTTTATCTTTCACCTTGTCAAAGGTACCTGGATCCTTCTTATCAGTGTTCCCTTCGTGTTTCGCTTTTCAAGCACCTTGATGTTTTCTTAGCCACCATTTATGTTTCCTTGGCATGGTTCACAGTAGGCTTCTAACTCTTCCTCCTCCTCCTCCTCCTTCTCCTCTTTTTTTCCCCTTAAGCTCCTTGGAAGATTCATGGGTCTCATGGCTATTTTTCCCCCTTTCTACCTGAAACCCAAGTGAAGTATTCATTTTGTGGCCTGTTGAGCCAGAACCAAAGGTATTGTCAGATTTTGGTCCTAAATCCCATAAGCCAACTCCTTGAAGCCCATAAGAGGAAAGAAAACACTTTTTAAAACAATATCAGTAAGTAGTCCCGTGATGTGCTTCTGACACTTGTTGAACTGAACATGAACTTGCCCTGTAACCCAAAACTTAGGTATTTTTAATTTTAAACATGGAAATAAGTTTACTGATTTGGAAGCATTTCAAGTTATCTAGGGATAGCTCATTGGAGAATTTCATTGCAAAATAATTAGTCCCCTGAGAATAATAATACCCAAAATATTTGAGACATACAATGTCTGATCTCCATGCAAAAAAGTTATTTTACTTCATATTAACATGAAATAAGCATGTCCCGCAAGGCACATTTACTTTTTAGCTTTTCAATACATAATAAAAAACTTATATCACATGCCACTGTTTAAATAATAAGAGTTGATTTTATGAATATTATATGAAATGAACACCCAAAAGAAATATTTTAAGGGCACAAAACACTAAGAATTCATTTTCCTTCCCTTTCCTTTTAAGCTTCTTACCATAACAAGGACCTGTGGTTTGTTTTTCTTGGCTAATTCAACAATATCCACTCCATTATAATAAAGATTTTCTATACATCCATGAAAGTTTGTATGTGAGATTGCCAGGGACCCTGCAGATGTCGGGATTCCTCCAAAGCTGATCTTAGAAAGAAAAATGACATGAATAACATTGTTTAGTGATGTTTTGATTATCTCTTTAAAACAGTGATGGTTAACAGGTACAGCAATGGTGGTCACAAATCCATCTGCATCTGCTTATATTTCCACATTTGTTCATTTCAAATGAGGCCCCCTCTATTCTAAGTGGCACTTCTTGATGGTTTTATTTCCGGTACCAGACTTTGTGCATTAACTTAAAGAAAGCGGCAGGCAAACTTTCTCTATGAAAGGCCGTGTTGTGAATATTTTTTGCTCTGTGGGTCACTTGGTCCCTTCTGCACCACTCCATAGTGTAGTTTTAGCACCAAAGCAGCCACAGACAACACATTTTGGAAATGGACATGTATTCCAATGAAACTTTTTAAAACGACAAAATGGCTTCTTTAAAATAAGACCAGATTCGGGCCCATAAAGTGCCAACCTCTACACTGGGTCCTATCTTTTGTTATTACACAGTTAAGGTAATAAAACCATGGATGATCTGGTATAGACCAGGGTCTCTGTAGATATTATGTGCCAAAACCATGGGTATCAGATACTCATCACAGCTTTCCTGGTTTGCTCTGATTCTTCATGTGCTCAAAAGTAGCTCAAAACTGTCCTTGAAGAACAGGCAGAATAGATGTCATTGAAAAGTTAGATACATACGGGCGATGTATTGCAAAAGATGTTATGTCCTCAAAGAAGTTAAGAAACTGTTTATAGGGCTGGGGTTGTGGCTCCGTGGTTGAGCGCGTGCCTCACGTATGGGTTTGATCCTCAGCACCACATAAAAATAAACAAATAACATAAAGGCAGTCTATCCATCTAAAACCACAAATGTTTTTTTTTTTTTAATCATGCAATTTATGATAACCTCAAAGTTAAGATCCAGGTAACTGGATTCTCCTCTTGCATGGAAATGACGAGTGTGTTTGTCCAACGTGAAGTTGACATGAGTGCTGAGGACCTCGATGAGGACGGAGTGCCAGTGCTGGTCATCCAGCAGGCTGCCCAGGGTGAGGTTCACGTGGGCACCAGCAGGCTGCAGGTTGGCATTGCCTGAAAGGAGAAAGCACAACAGGCTGAGGTGGCTCTGTTAAAAACCATGGATTCCCTTTGCTGCATCAGCACTACAACTTAGGTCCACCCTTCCATTCCCATGTAGCTATCATCCAACTTTCTCTTCATCTGAAAACAATGATATTTTGACATCTTTTGTGATTTCTTTTGTATTCATTTTTACACTTTGTTGAAATTGCTTTTTTTCAGTGATTTGTTTTTTATTACTTTTCATGACATCCTCATTTACCTTGCAAGTATTTTCTTTGCTAGAACATCACTCTCGGCACCAGCTCATAATTTCACAACAGCCTATTCTTATCTGTATGATTATGTATAATGACGATATGTGATATATTATATGTATAATGCATTTATAATGGCCTTCTTACACAGTTGTCAAAGTAGGTGCTGTTTGCGTAAATCCTACTGGAGATGTGTACAGGCTGGATGCATTTGCTAGCAATGTCCCTCAGTTCTCATTCGCACTTTCCCATGACAATTCCACTTTGCACTCATTATCCCAGGGTAACTATCAGTAATGTGTCCCTGAACTTTCAAAGGTGTTTGGCTTCACTGATAAATCATATGGTCTCTTTCCTTAACTGTGAAAATTAAGTACCAATGGATGTATTTCAAACTAGCCAGATTGTTATTTTAATCACTGGCATGAAAGTACAAATGCCTTTTACCTGAATTAAGAGAAAAGACAAGTTTTCCTTTAATTAATTGCAGAGATACGTGATTTCCATGTTGTCCTTCTCTGTGGAGTAGAATCCCATTGTTCTTCATGGTTTTAAATTTCAAAGAAATAACATCTCTTATCGGTCTCATGGGCTTTTTATCCAATCTGTATAGCAGGGCTCCTAGTCCATCAAAATAAACCACCTGAGATCCTGGGAAAGAGGATAAGACAAAGTAATTCTAACTGTAATACATCCTACATTGCACCTGGAAATGGATAGGCCAATACACCTCAATATACACAAACACACAGGTTACATTTCTAGTTGCTCATTGTTGGAAACACTGATAACCATGTATTCTTGATTGGTGTCACAAGTTGATTTACCTAATACTCATTGGTAGGCTTTTTCATTTTCCAAATTTATCATTGAAAAACACATTTATTAATATATTCTCACTGACTTCTGTCTTTATACTGGTTTATTTCTTCTCATTCTATTTGATTTTTAAAAATCAGGAAATATGTTGTATTTCTACTAAATGAGTTGTCTGTTTTAAGATCGTTCTTCTGTTAAGAATCAGTGTCACTCAATTTAAATGATTTATTCATTCCCAGTAACTTTGACTTCTCTTGATTCTTATACATGTACACACATTAGTGAAGATTTTGTTTGTTTATAAAACACACACACACACACACACACACACACACAGCTGGTTCTGTTTCTCTGGAGGAACTTAACTAATAAAGGCATACATTTTTTATTTCGATGCTTTGTTGAGAGAGCATGACTTCAATAACACTATTTTGGGCCTTCCGGAGAAGCCTGTCAGAACTACAATTCTGCCGTTTCTTCTGAGCTTTCTAACAGGGCCTTACAATTTCAACTATAAAGGTCATGATCATTCACTTCATCAAAAAACAAGTGTGTCTTATCTATAATACAAAAGAACATCTGTCAAAATCAACTGAAGATGGAACAACAGACAAAAAAAAATTAACATTACCCAGAAAAATCTCTTGTGTTTTTTTTAAATTAAAAGGAAGAAAAAGAAAGCAGTTATCTTCAAAAAAATATATGTATCTAATAAACGGAGGTGCACAAAATATGTGAAGCCATCAGAAGCCAACCAGCCCAATCATTCAAGCTGAGATAGATTGTTTATCGTATTTAATTTCACAAAAATATTTCTGCAAGTCTTTTATGTGGTTATCCCTTTTCTTTAGGTTATGCAAAAATATATAAAAAATTGTGCCTCAAAAAATCATCCATTTTGTGCAGCTAATATTTGAAAGTTTACAAGTCTGATTTTCTCACATGGGGTTAAGGTATGTAAGAGAAATTATTGTATTAAGTGCTACTTTATACTACATTATACTACATTCTGTGCAAAATATATGTAAACCAATTATTCCTTGTTATAGAACTAATTTTATGTGCACAATTAAAAGCAAAACTGTCAAATCCAAATGAAGCCACGTACAGTTAGGAGTTGGCAATTAACTAAGGAAAGCTTTGGAAAGACAGCAAAGACTTCACATTTTGCTGTTCTCATCACCTCTGCTGTGACTGTGTCTTTATGTGTTGCTCAAAGATAACGCTAATATTTGGGATTTTATATTTTGCAGTTGTTTAACACAGTGTTCTGCTCCTGAAGAGGTCTTGCCTGGGTGATTTAGATCTAGTTTTGAGTTTTGCTTTTCCTCATTCTCACTGTGACTACTCTAGACCACAGCAGGATTGATTTTCTAAGAAACACGAAGGAGATTTCCTGAAACGTTTTTCTCAGGCAAATGGTAGAGCGTAAGTGTTAGAAGACTTGTTTCAAGACCAGTTTCAAGGTCTAGTCCATTAGGTAATGCCTTGTCTTTCTGTCAAACGTGACTACGCTGCTTCAATCTAGAAATTTAACCACATGGTTTTAACTCAGTATGGGGACTTTTGAATGAAATAAGTTAACACGATAAAAAAAAAATCCAAGTTAAAAAATAGTCAACTCTGACTTGTGAAGTCAATACATGAAAAAAAATGAAACTAAATAAAAGCTCATGTTTGGGATAGAGAACATTTAGCTCAAAAATTAAGCAGCAATTTTAATTTTTGAAAATTGGGTGCTGGTGAGGGAGATCTCCACAAGGTCTCTCTCAGGAGTGATCTGCCCATCAGAGAAGCAAGCCTTTCAGGACTTGGTGCTTACAGGTAGTCTAAAAGTCAGCCTTTTCCACATCTGCTGCTGAGTCTGTGTGGCCCCTGGCATTTTGCCAACAGTATTGATTGACAGGCGAGGCATTACTATCCGCCTCTGCCGCAACTTTTGAGTTCTCGCACTATTTTGGAGTTCTCGTGGGGATTGCCGGGGATTCCCCAGGAGTTCCCATTGGTTGGGGAAGTGCAGGAGGAGGGATTTCCAGGAGAGATATTTCCGGCTGGGGGTTCCTGGACTAGCCCCTTGGCGTTTGGGAGGATTCCCTGGGAGCTGTGTGAAGTGTTTTCCTGCAGTTCAAAAATAAAGTTTGTTCCTGCTTCAGTGGCTAGTGATTTGTGCCCAGACAGATAGCGGCAATCTGCCATATTTTTAGAAATTTAAGACTCTTGTAAGAGCAAGTAAATATTTTATAGCCCTATCAATACAAGTAAACCTCTATAATATATATTTGAATAAAAACATTAAAATAATAAAAATTCAGTATCATATTTATTATAAACTTTCATAATAACCTTAAGAGAAAAATTTATTGGTACAAAATTCAATTATATGAATAGGAAATGCAGAGGGATACTGGAAAATCAGAAATCCAAACTTCTTCAAATTTTTCTGCCATCCAAAATGAATGGCGACAACTTAGTTCTTGGCTTAAAACAGGAAGTGCTTGTCTAATTTGATATGAACTTGGTTTATAATTATTCAACTTACCAATTGATATTATAGTTTTGATTACTGGATTTCTGTGGTTATTAACAACACAGATACACCACCATTAGATAGAGCTATATTTTCCAGTATGGAGGTTAATTTGTCTTATATATTAAGACTCTGTTCTAGTCCCATTACCAGCTCTTTTCTTTCCCTTTTTGGGACATTTCATAATATAGCGTACTAGTTCAGAGGAAGGACAAAGGAGTTAAAGCGTGAATCTTAGTTCCATCCTACACAGGTTACACACCTTCTCTGAGCTCAGTTTCCTCATCTGTGACATGAGACTGAAAACAGGCCTCCCTCACAAGACTGTTGTGAGAATCCGACGCGTTAACATCTGTGGAGTTTCACAACAGTGCTTAGCACACAGAAGGCCCACAGTGGATAAGTGCTTATGATTTCTAGAGCTCTGGGCAGAGAAAAAAAAAGGTGGAAATTAGTTTTCAACAGCACACAGAGGACTTACAGGAAAGCCAGCAGCTTAAAATGATAACGAATTTCATTTTTGAAGGATGCAAGAAATCTTCAACTTTCAAGTCCCATGGTTGGATCCCACCCGGCAAGGAGAGAGATATTTACAACGATCCTACACCTAAGCTGCCTCCTTCTCTGCCAGCCAGCCTCTTTCTGAGCCTGACTCATTTCAATCGCTGGTGACCTAAATCTTACTGGGAAGTATGTCTATCTATTCATTTTAGAGGCGAGAGAGAGTGTAGAAATGACACTTGAAGATGATTGGTACAATTACATCATCACTGCGCTTCCCAGAAAGGAATATTGGAAAAGAGCCAAAGATTGATGCATTCAGAGGCTCTCAAAGATTAATTCCTGTAAGACTAAGAACTTACTGTCACAGACAGTATTCACCTGTCTGGGAGGAATTTGGTAAAATCTATGTCTCCATTCAGATAGCTCAACGTGTGGTGCAGCCCTTGTCTAGCACATGTGGGTGTCTGGGTCCAATCCCTAGAATCTGGAAAAGCGGCAGAGATAGAGAAACTGCACATGCTAATCAGAATCCATGAAAATTTATAGTGATAGTGAGCATTTTGCTATAAATAGAGTGTAACTGGGAAAAGACACTGCCTTAAAGCAACGTCATATCCCATAATAAAGTTCTTGAATCAAAACAGGGCAGTGGACATACAAATGAAAATACTAAAACGTACCACCCTTATTAACATAAAGTGTCAACAGCATAAACAAAATCAATACATCTGAAAAATAATTCCTCTAAGACAAAAAGGACATGGTAGAGATTCACCTTCTGGGGGACATATTTTGAATTTCTCAGTAGTGGTGAGATCTTATCCATCTGCATCTTGTTTCCCCAGTCACTCTTACCCAACAGCTCAAGTCTACAGAAGTGAACGGTGCCGAGAGATTCCACAAGATCTGCACGGCGCACTGTGCTTCTTGGGACTGGTCACGGAGCTTTGATCTTTCCAATATTACTCTGAGGAGCTGGAGTAGCATCTCCTCATGAAGGAACATCAAGCTAATGGCAAATCCCCATCAAAGAGCGTGTTCTGCTTTGAAGTCAGTAAACCTGAAGTTGTTTCAGAGTGATGGGAGGACAAGCTAATTTCAGAGCATCAAAGAGAAATTCCAAGTATCAGACACTGTAGCCATTGCAACAGTGAACTCAGCTGGGTTCAAGAGAATACAGTGATGAAAGAAAATGACCAATGGGAGGGGAAGAAAAGAAAGTCGGATGGCAAAACAACACCATTATACTTAATGTCCCATAGAAATGTAAACATTAGATTACAGAGTTAGGAAATTAATTGGCTTGCACAGGGGTTGAGTCACAGAATGTGAATAATAGCATTCATGACTTTAAATACTTCATGGGTGGTAGATTATTATTATGTTTTAGAAAATTAACATTCTGCAAGGTCAAAGCCGGGATTAGCAAAGAAGGGAGGCGGGTGTTTGTGTGCAAATGGTGTCACACGGGGGTCCAACCTGACCAAACCTGAGATGCCAAAGATATTTCCATCCAGTCTATTCTTTGCATGTTCTCCAGGTCTACACAGGAATTATTTTTATTATTGTCCCATTCTGACAATAATCTATGATGATATAAAGAAACAGAACAAGTATATCCTGGATTATCCAATAACGGCTAGATGATGAACTCCTGCCACACAATTCCATGGTTTGCTTTTCACGTCTGTGTTATACTCACATTACCTCCGTTCTTTTTACTTTGGTCTCGCACATGCTAGACAAGCGCTCTGCCCTTAAACTGCATTCCCAACCCTTTTAATTTTCTATTTTGAGACAGGCTGACCTTGAACCTGTGACCTTCCTGCATCAGCTCCCAAGGAGCTAGAATTACAGGCGAGTCTTTTGACTTTGATTATAGTTAATAGATGAGAAAAAGAGGCTGACATAATGCATATACATGTATCCCCACCAAGGAAGAAAAAGTGAAGCCTCAGTGCGCTGTACAGAGGTTTCCCAGGGACGTCAACAGAGAGAGGCAGAGTCAGAACTGAGACACCACTGAGCAGGCGCTGTGCCTAAGAAACCAGAGCCCCCCCATCCCCCCTGCATTCCTATACTGAGTGTCCACATCAGAAGAACAGCATCATCTGCTCCTGGTTTGAACTTTATTCACTTAATTAAATGGCTATTACATTGTAAGTACTCTGTTAAACTCTGGAAATCTAAATATTAATACATCTTGATTAAGGTCCACCTCTAAATTCAGCTATAAAAAGTAAAAACTAAAGTCCACTCTGACATGGGAAGATTGACACAAGATTTAAAAAAAAAAATCAGTTTGGCTGCACAGTTATTTAAAAATCAGAAGTCAAGTTCAGTTGGCAGTTTGGCTTTTGCGGCATCTCATGCAAGTGTGGATTTCTTCCAGTAACCAAGGCTACTTACTGTATGCACACCCATACACCTCGACCCGCATCCCAATCCTGCCCTTGGGGTTCCAGGCTAAAGGCAGGAAGCGCAGGAACCTGGCTTCGAAGGGGGGCTGGAGCCGGTAGTGCACCACGCTGTCCGCATTTGTGTTTCCTGAAAATCCCTGCGAGAAATCAGAGAAAGATCCAGGTCAGGGCAGAGTACCACATTCCCTTGGCCTCCGCTCCATGGATGGCACAGCAAGTGCGCTCTGTTGTTGTGGAAAAGCCTTCTTTCAAGAATATCTGCTAATGTTCAGCCCAGATGTGACACCCTCTCCTGGGTCTCTCCATCAGTCACCATTGTCCAAGTTTTCTTTATTTACAGGACAGTGGGAATTTCATCAGCACCTTTAACATGTCCATAAACACAGTAACTTCCATCAGATTTGCTTTTCTGAATTTTTTATCTCCTCCTCTAATATCCAGGAAATAAAGATGCTCCCATCAACCACATCACCCAGGGTGATAAAACACCTGGGTGATGAACATCCAATACTACAGAAGAACCCTAAAATGGGACGTGGTGGGGGTCCTAGCATGGATCTAGCCCCATCCCCTTAGGTTCCAGACAGGAGACTGGCTGGAGGTCAGTGGCTACCACTTAGGGTGGGAGGGCTCACTTCCTAGGGGTTCTACTTCAGTTGCAGAGTTTATCCCATGTTACCTGGCTGTCTCCACATCAGTGCAGGTCTTCTTCCCTACTGTACCTCATAACCCAGATTTCCTGTAGCCAGAGTTCTGGGGTATCCAGGGAACACCCCCCCGGCACCCCCCCAACCTTATCTGCCCAGGGCAAAGGACAGTGCTTTTGCCTAGTCACCACCTGATCATCATCATGAAAGACCAGAGTGTGAGCAAAGAAGGTTATATAAAATACTTTTTGTCTCGTTTCCAGCTGTGTGGGAGGGAGGGCAGGTGAAGGAGGTTGGATCACTACCAGGCACAATTAGGACATGTTAATCAAAAATCAAAACTAATAAAAATGTGCAGAAACAAGGGGAAGACTGATATTCCTGCTCATACACATTTATTTGAGATCACTTAGCAATGACCGGTTCAATCAATAAGATAAAAACAGTGCTGATAACCACTCACATGGAAGTAAAAACTTAGAAAAATTAATATTTTCATTTCTTATACAATTTTCTGCTGTGCATAACTCCCTTTACTAGGGTGTTCAAACATAGCATGTGGGTTTTTTTATGAAAAAGTGCAGAGGTGGGTGGAGATGAGGGATTCATGAAGAACCGGCTTCCTAATGAATAAAGGTTTAAATCAGAACTTTTAAACTTTTTAGCTGCAGCTAAAGCTGAATTAGAGAAAAATTCAAAGACAGAGAGACCCTTTCACTTAATAATCATGAAATTAGGGAGTAAAACGTCTGCTTGCCGAGACTCTAACAGTAGAATGGCTTTTTCCTAACATGCCTGGGGCATGCAGTTACACTCAATGTTTGGAGCTGGCCCATTACTTCAGCCAACTGTCAGGGAAATTATCTGGGCTGGGGCTGGGGCTCAGTGGTAGAGCACTTGCCTAGCCCATGTGAGGTGCTCAGTTTGATCCTCAGCACCACATAAAAATAAATAAATAAAGGTATTATGTCCATCTACACCTAAAACAAATTTTTTAAAAGGATGTTATCTGCCCAATTATTTTGCTTTGTTAAAGAATTTGCCAGCTTAACAACATAAATGGAATTAGAATCAATCTGCAAAGTCCCAGACCCCCTGTGGGCTTCCCTTGGTATAAATAAATGGAAATTGAACCACAGAACAGCCTTAGTGAGGGCGGTCAATTTCAATGCTAGTGTAAAGTCATATTATTCATATCTTTTTAGAATTATAACCAGTTCCTTAAGATACCCACCAAATAAAGTCGTTCTTTAAAGAGGCAGAAATTAAAAAGAGAGGGATGATCTATACGAGTATTTCACTCCTGTAACATTTAGGGCTCATTCTCGAAATCACCTTCTATTTAACAATAAAATACTGTGTCTTTAAAAATGTAAGGTAGTCTTTTATTCATTAAATTCCAAATTTGCCTTGAGAGTTTCCATAAGAGACATGAATTTATAGGCAAGCAAAAACAGAAGCACGTTAGACATAAAGAATAAAGAGCTCTTCCTGCCTGGTTTTGTTTCATAGAAAACAAAGGTTCTAGAAGCAGAGGGCCAGGCATTCTCTGTGGAAATATACAGCCCTCAGCAACTCTCCAGAGCCTTAAATCTTCATTTAGAGACAGATAAGAAACACAGCACTACTGAGAGGGGACGGTTGGCAAATGACTTTTAGAATCCACAGTCCTTCAAATTCTCTTCTGTCCTTGCTCAGGCACCTGACCTTGATGGAAGGCACCATAATTTCTTTTGAAAGTGAAAAAATAATGTCTACCTGAAAATCATGGACATGATTAAACCCATTAAAGTATGTAAAGGATTTGTAAGATTATAGACTATTCTCTCTACAGAATTCCCCACCACTCGTGTGTATGTGTTACAGCTTTGGGGGGACTTCTGAGAAACTGAGACAGTGCAAAAGACCCCCTTCAAACCCTGATTCTTGCAATCAAGTCAGAAGGATTTCAGACACGTCACTCAGAGTAACAGGAATGAGTTTATTGAAGGGATAGGAAAGGGGAAGGGGACACTCTGAAGGGAGAGAATATGTCCTCTCGGAACGGAGAGGGATAGGGTGTCTCTTCTGTACTCTGGTTTTATGGGAGATCCCAGAGAAGTTTCCAGAAAGTCCCACCCAGACCCACCTCTTGACTTTTGACTGACAGCAAAATGACTTCAGATTTGAAAGCACCAAGAGCCACGACAAATCTAGGTCACCTTGGCCTATGCTGACCAGTTCTAATTGGATTCTTAACCACAGGTTCTTACAGATTTTATGGTAAGGAGGAACTATCCTTATCTTTCAGTTTCAGGTTATGGCCACAGAATTCTTCCCTTCAGGGTAACTTGGATTCCTCGTATCAACATCAACTTAGGTCTGCGTTTCTCCTGCAGATAACAGGGACTTTGCTGGGGAATGTGACGTATCCTGTCCACTTAGGCCAGGCAGGGCTGCAGGTAATTGCTTCTTGGAAAAGAAAGCACGTGAGGGTCAGCACGGTGGGCCCACTTTATAGAATCATCCCCTTGACCTCCTGTTCCCACCATCCTCCTCTGTCTGTCCCCTAACACTTTGGTTTGCTCTTCACATTCACATTGGCCAGACTTAACAATCAGAAGGCTGGAGGGGCTACAACGCTCATGGGACCACCTGGTCTCCTACCTAATGTGGCTTCATGGACCACACTCTTGATGTGGGGTCACTATCACACGCCCAGCCTTCAGTAGACAAATGGGCGGCCAGTCTAAGATTCACCAACAACAGTAATTTTTAAGAAGCCTCTTAGAGATCTGTCATTCTGAAACAGTTCTGTCTTTAATGGATTTTTATTAAATCTTTATTTTAAACGATGAGTTACAGAAGTGAATCTCAGAGACATTTGAAAGCAGGATTAAGTCTCCACGAGGTACCACCAGTGCACTGAGCAACCCCACTGTTTCTTCAGTCAGAACTCACAAAGAAACGTGTATGAAAGATACCAGTTTTTTTGTTTTCCCAACACTTGAATGTACTAAACAAGGAGCTCAGTGCCTAGCATGTGTGACACACTGGGTTAGATCCTTAGCACCACATAAAAATAAATAAAATCAAGGCATTCTGTCCATCTACAGCTACAAAAAAATATACTTTATAAAAAAATTGTACTAAACAAGACTCTTATTTCAATATGCTGTTACTATCTTAGCGGTCATGGTTATGAGGCAGGACAGCACCCCTGGGTAAGGAAGCACCCTGTACTCCTTGGCTATAATTCTCCTTGGATTGACCGACTCAGCTGATATTGGACACGAGCTTCAGTCTCTGCGATCTCGGCTTCTTTGTGAATAATATGGGAAATATAACAACTGCTCTGCCCAATTTACAGCTTGTTGAAAGTTTCTGAAAGTGCCTTAAAAATTCTAAGGAGCTATACAAATGAAAGATATAATTAACCTGCCCCATAAGATATGTTAACAAGACTATTTGATTAAGATAGTTTGTAATTTATAAGTGTTATTAGGAAAAAAAATTGTATTAATGCTAAGTGTAGAGCATTAGGAGTGTAATTAACCCGGCATATGCCCCGAGAGCATTTTATGAAGCAATTAAATGGTGCTTCTACAGGTTATTAAAAAGTGAGTATATTATCTTTATCACCTTTCTATGAGTAGTATAATTACACCTGTGTAAAAAGTGAATTAGTAGAAACCATGATGAAAGATAAAACAACATTTACGTAAATTTAAATATGTGTGAACAAAAGAATCGAGCCTTTTTGTTTTTTTTTAGAAGAATACACAAAATACATTGGACTCAGGAAAGGTGAATCGTAGGAATGATGAATGAATGAAGAGATACGGAGGCTGAGCAGGGCCACCTCACACAGACCAGAACAATTCTTTACTGATGCCTCATTGAAGAATATGACCAGTCAAACCCTTGGCACTCAAAGCCAAACACACACAAACACACACACACACACACACACACACACACACACACATACACGCACAGGCTCCAGCATGTGGACCCAAGTATCTGGATGGAGCGCCTTCAACCTTCTGCTGATACCTCCTGACCTTCTCTCTTCTCCAGGGACCAGCTGTGGTTGAAGGAAGGGCTGCTGCAGGTGTGGCCTGGGGCTGTCCCAGAGACTTGTCCCAGCTGACTGTGAAGCCATCACTCCAGCAGGGTGATTGACTTCTGTGACTGTCTGCTACATTGGATGTCCCCTCCAAAACTTGTGTTGAAATTTAATAGCCACAATAGCCATATTACCAAAAGTGGTATACAGGTTTAATGTAATTCCTATTAAAATCCTAATGATGTTCTTCACAGAAATTGAAAATACACTCCTGAAATTCATTTAGAAGAGTAAAAGACCCAGAATAGTTAAAGCAATCCTTAGCAAGAAAAGTGAAGCAGACCTTAAATTATTTTACAGAGCTATAGTAACCAAAACAGCATGGTATTGGCACCAAAACAGACATGAAGACCAATGGAACAGAATGGAAGACACAGAGACA